AGCTGGGGTGGAAAGCGGCCTCGCCTCAATGGGCAGAAAGTCTCACACTCTTTTCCAGAAGTCTCCACGCTGAGTCCAGGCTGTGTTACACAATATTCCTCCTCTGTGGATCTGGCCTGGGTTAACCTCAGCGTTCCTCGTGTATGTTATCGGTTTCCTCTTACACCTGTGAGCTCAGTTTGGGCTGCGGGAAGTTAGGTGTTGCAGATGTTTGGACTTTCTGTATGAGAGTGTGTTTGGACTTTCTAGCAGAAGAGTTTATATTTGAAGATGTTAATGAGGCATTAAGTCATCAATGACCTTTGTGGGTGTTTATTAGTTACAACAACATCAGTGGACCTTATCTGCTCCTGTAAAAGTATCTGGCACGACTCTAACCACTTCCTGTTAGGGTTATTTATAAATGACACAGTTAATAAATCCAGAGCCGTAAAATAAATATGAACCCAGCACAACCGTCCCTTATTTTCCAATTCTGGAGACTTTAGTTCCCATCTCTTAAATGCATCCTCGACGCCCCTGCACCACTTCACCACTTATGCAATAAGAAGCTACTCTTTTGACGTCTTTGCCTTTATTGGTTGCATGTTTTTATGCAGTAGGAGCTTCACAAACACTCTTGTTGTGGCTGAATGTAACTGTTTGATGTAGTTTTGATTAAACAGTGGTCATTCACATTTGAAAGGGTTATACAACTGGTTCTTAAAGTAAATTTGAGCACACCAAAGTCCACTTTAATCAAATACAACGTCATTTTCCAAAAACAAAAGTGTGGTTAGTTAAAATGCTGAGTGAATAGTTACTTTAAAAAACCACTAGACACAGTCTAGCCCTGGTTTCAACCACTAGGACTTAGTAAAAGCCAAAAAAAAGAGCATGCTTGTTTATATTAAGGAAATGAATTTAGTTTCTATTAAATATTTCCCTAAATATGTTTTCATACATAGAGATGTGATGAGAAACAGCCTTCTTCTCTTGGGAAAAAAACACCAAAATGAAAATCAACTTGGCATTTGTTTTGAGCAAATAATGCAATACAATCTTTCTGTTATGAATATGCGAGAAAGGACTGTGACTTAAAAAAAATGCCACCTAGGCGTGAAGAAATCGTTCTGTTTTGAGGTTTTATTTTCCCACAGTGTGTGTTGTGTGGCAGTTGGGTCAATCTGTCCTCCATCAGTAAGTTTAAACTGGGAGTAGTGGAGGTGGAGGACAGTTTCTCACAGTTGAGTAGGAGGACGTCTGCGGGGGAAGTGTTTGATGTCAGAGGTTATGTCAGGGGTTAGTCATGTGGGCTCCTCCCATCACAGATGTTTTCTTAATTTATTAGGTAGGTATCCTCTGCACTATTTTCCTCTACATCAGCCCAACCACACAGCTCATAACATCTGTGATAGCGATGCTGTGATTTCCTGCAGCTATGTTATACACTGATGAGTAATAAAGAAACACCGGGGTTTGCACTGACAGCCCATTACCGTTTATTCACCTTGAGTGGAATTCAGTTTCCTGGTCCTGACAACGTGCCTACGCTGTGACTCATTCCTTTACTGGATACTGTGGGTCATTTAGGAGAAAGACCTTTTTTCCCTCTCTTTTCTGTCTGTGTATTTAAACATTTCATGCTGTTGTTACTCCAAAAAAAACCCTCCTGAAAATGGTTTGCATACAGGTGACACGGCAGATGAAGTAGCACTTTTCCCACTGTCTGTTTTGAGTTACTGACGTGTGTTGTAACGCCTTCACTGCGCTCCATAAACCAGAAACAGAACCACCTAATTAGCCTCCTAATACACCAACAAAACAGCCGGATACATCCAAATGTCATTGAGTTGAAATCCTCGAGTCTCAAACTGATGTGTTTCCTCTGGCGGTAAAACAAAGGCCAGTCAACCTTCGGCTGTTGTTCTCAGAGTGCCACATGAATACCTGGAAATCTCTCTCTGAGCGCTGAGTGACGTTCAGGAACACTTCAACCAGTCCTGTGGAAACAAAGCTCACATGAAATGTTTTTATTTCTCCGTCAGAACAGAAGGATTATTAATCATTCTCCTGAAGATGAGTTATCAGCTGAAGCGAATTACATTTTCTGGCTGCTTTGAAGCAGAAGCAGATGTATTAATGGTTTGGTCAGGGGCTAATAAACGACTTTTACACACTAAATCCTGATACTTTATATTAAAACAAATGACCCAGTGTTATTTAAAGTGTATTTTAATTTTTTTATTTACTGACTGACTTCATGTTTTGTCCAGGTTCCATGTGGGAGAAATCCATACGACAAATTGGCTTTGAAAGGTAAGACAATTATGAATTCAACTCTTTCACAACAATTGCATTCACTCAAATATCATGTACAGCTTAAAGAATTATTCTGTTTCACATTTTGTCAATATATTTATTTTATTTTATGATTCATATAGCAAGCTTGATGAGATACAGAAAATAAATCCCTTTAAATTATCTGTAAATCCCAGCATACAATGATGATGAAGTTTGGATTTTGTTGGTAGGATTGTTTGATAGAGACAGGAGGGTCAGTAATAACAATCAATAACATGTATTTTTTCCGAATCAGCAAAGCCTTAGCCAAAATATTCATCCCACCTTTCAAAGATCAGACCTGGTTCTCTTCCCCTGTAAGAGGTTGCATCATCTCTGCAAAGTGTCCTTACCCACAATAACATTAAACACCACTTTTAACATTTAGCCGCACTGGCCCGTCATCAAGGTTTCAAAACGCTCCTCACCTGTCCCTCTGTGGATTCTTGATGAACACTAAACCCAGTTACGTCGGACAATCAGTAGAGAGACCTATAGTTCAAAGCTTTCGCCGCTGTCTCTGTCTCCTCACACCCCCGTGATCGTGTTAGATGCGGTTTCCTAAGTACGGGAATGTCCAAACTCGGCCACATCCTCTTTCCAGTACTCAACGGCCCTCGTGGATAGTATACTGTAAGTGGCGGAAGTACAGTCGTAAACATTTGATCCCGGCTGCATTTACCTGTTTTTGTTAGGGATCATATACAGTATATATTTACTGCTGCATTGGCGGATGCTCTTTCCCTTTCACGTCCTGTATGGAGGAAAATGCAGAGTTGCTGGAGTCTAAAGTTTAACATTCGCAGCTGTTTGTGTGTCTTTTCACCCAGACAGATCCTTCAGTTTCCTCCAGCTTGACCTTTTCAAATCCTTTAGAAACACCAAATATTTATATCATTTCGGACATATTTCCTGGTGTTAGGGTATTTGTAGTTTTTCCGCCAATGCCTGAAGAGTGTTTTCCCCTTGCAGCCTGAGGCAGTGAGGACAGGTCTTTGCTCTGCTAATGTTGTTGTAATGTTCTCACAAACGGGGGAAAAGTCATTAAAGTTCCTGGCTCAACCTCGCCTGGTTCTGACGCTTTCCATCCCTTTTATCCACGTGAGGATGCACAAAGCTTCATAACAATAAAGCGCATGGAAACAGTCGTCCTTGATTAGATTGAACTCGCCAGCAGCAGCCAGTCCCAATTATTTATCCGAGTGTTTCCATTGCGTTGATTAGTTTTCAACTTGGTCACTTTTATAAGCTTGATATCCATTGAAGACCAGAAGGAGATTGTTTCTGTGTGAAATGACCAGTTGCTTAAAAGCTGTATCCAAACATTTGGTCAGCTTTTCACTGCAGCCTGCACCACAGAGTGTTTTTTTTTTAATCGAAAACACTTTAATTACACTTGGAGCTCAGCATGACATGTAAAGAAAACCCTTTGGTGGCCAAACACAGGAGATTGTTGTAAAACTGAAATAGAAGTCTGGATGATTAAAGTGAGTTTTTAAAGGTTTTGAAACCTGCTAGCCATTTCAAGGACATTTTTTATTTGCTTTAATTCTACATGCAATCATGACACCTCGTAAAACTTGTCCTGAGGCGGCAAAAAAACAAAACATCCCGCCTGACGTTTCTGAGGCTGTCATGGCAACAGCTGGCTGCCACTGTGTAGCTTCCTGTTTGAATCACCGCTCTGGTATTTAGTTAGAGGTGAGCAGACGTTTAACAAATGTTACAAAAGCTTTGTTTGCTCACAGCGATATCTCCACAGGAAATCAAACAATGTCACATTTTAGTCAAATAATGAAAAACACACACTGTCTCGACCAGACCTGGGGTAAATATTATTTATTTAAACATTTTTATTATCTGTACACAGTCCTTTTTATGTAAGAATAAGTCAATAGGTTCTGGCATACTGTTAGAAACCCACAAAATCTGGTTTCAATTCATTTATGTGACGCAGTTTAATGGGGAAAATAGCTTATTGGTCATACCACCTTATTATGAACAAAGGGAGTAAACAAGTTTTCTCACAGCCTTTTTGTTTGAATGGAATTTCACAATAAGTTTAAAACAGGCAAGGCTTATTTCATTAAAGTGGGTGGTACGCCACATAAAAGCTGAAGAATTTAACACATGTTTAAATAACTGTCGATTAACGAAAGAAAACCCAGATTCCCAGGCACTCATGGGAACAGGTAGAGTCTTCTGAAGGATAATTGCAGTAATAATATTTATTCTCATGAGTTTGAGTGCAGTACAGTCTGCAGATGAAGATATCTTCTCCAAGCTTGTTGAACTGCATTTTAAATAATCAAAGTGACATGAAGATTTAGTAAAGACGAAGGGAGATGACATGAGACGATTATCCAAGATACAAACACATGACCGCACACATATTTATGGTACTCATCCAAGTGAACTCAACAAGCAACCACAGGTATTAGGTTTTCCTACAAAAACAGTTTTACATTAAAAGTGATCGTCCATGGACAGTTAAATGTGTTGTACCCGGTCCCATTTTCCAGCGTTTGGTTGCCATCGTAGACTGCATGATTGCTCCAGATGACAACTTTTGGAAGATATTGGGTTTCAAATGTGACTTTGAGGACACAAGCTTTCTGTCAGTGTGATGCCTTCTGGTTTCTGTTTGTCCACAGTGTGATTGGTGCAGATGCGGGGAACGGTATCCGGGTGTTCATCCCCGACATCGGTATGTTTGTGGCCGGCCTGGCCATCTGGCTGCTGTGCCGCAGTCTGGTCCAGAAGAGACCACCGGAGGACATGGCCCAGTACAACACTGACTTTGAAGCAGAGGAACAAGTGGGTTTCATCTGGGGGGCCGGAGCTGCAGAATGGAAAAGTTGACAAGCTTAAAAAAAAAAAAACTTTTCCTGGTGCACGTTTTTTAACCAGTACAATCTAATTTCATTTCATTTCAAACCTTTATTTATCCAGGTGTATCCCATTGAGATCATTGATCTCTTTTTCAAGGACTAATCATGGATTAATTGATAATAAAATCAATCAATGAAATGATATAGATGGAAAAGTTTTCAGGAGATTGCATGGCGTCTTATTATTGGTGTCATTTGGCACAAAAAAAATACCTTTTGGGTGTCAAACTAGTCAAATTATGATAACTTGAAGCAAATTAAGTCACACATGTACAAGCAAGCTAACCACAACTCAGATGCTGCTCTCTCTTTTATATAGTCGATGACCAAATCAGATCATAGCCTACTTTACAATACTAGTAATTAGAAAATACTGAGGAGACTTTTGGGGAATTTAGACTATTGAGAAGAAAAAAACGTACTGATTTGGATGAGGTAAATTGTGATGATGTCTCTGTGCATCAGGAACAACAACACAATCTATGGATGTGGGATAATGACATTTTCCATAGTGTTGCAGATCCTTACTAAAGTGTGTGCGTGGCAGTGAAGTGATAAATGTCGTTTGATGACAATATTTCTCCTAAATGTACCACTTTAATATCAAGGAATAACAAACAAGATCTTATAAATAACACAATGAGTGTGTTGTACATAACTGATCAGAGTTGTTTACTTACTGAAGTGGCCAACTTACTCCTGCTTGATACGTAACTTCCACGTTGAGCTTCTTCAACAGAACAGGAGTTTGAATAGCAAGTGTTGATGACTTGGAATAAAGCTCCCATCCCGTGGCAAGTCTTCCGTTCTCTTTATGACTCAGTGTTAATTAAATCCACATTCACTTTCTCTTCGTCTGAGCTGCTCACACTGGCACAGATGCCCGCGCTCCCCATTACTGAGAAACACCAGGAATTCATCTATAGCGCCTGCATTGTGTTCAGGTTTTTAAATCCATCTGAGCTGAAGTTGTTGTTTGACTCAAATCAGGCTTTGTACCACCTGCTACTTTCTTAGTGTAGTGCGTCAGTCCTCTATATAAAGCCCAATCAATGGCTCACTTGTTATTATGTCCCTTTTGTATTGAGACTTTAGGAAAAGAGCGACACATAGTTGGTTAGATAGAGTCGCCAAGGAAGAAGTGACTCAGTATCTCAAGCCCACATCTGTTTCCACAGGAAAACATCTGCTATGGGTCAATAAAGATATGTCAAGCAGCCAAATATGTATTTAAATAAGCTAAACTGGAGTATGCACAGGGATTGTTCTAGAAGTGCTACCTGTAGGAAACAGTTTTCAGCACCATGGAGAGCTCTGACCTCCAGCAGCACCATTCATCATTCATATACTGAAATGTCACTTTATAATCCCATCCCCTAAAAGGAAGAAGAGGAGAAGCTGAGCCTGGACGACAACATCCTGCTGGAAGAAGACTACGAGGCGGGGTACGAGGCCGAGGAGGATGAAGAGGATGAGGATCTGGAGGAGGAGGAAGAGGAGGAAGAGGAGGAGGAAGCAAAGGAGAGCACCAAGAGGAAGATCCTGCGGCACGTAGCGGAGGTGGCGTCCAAAGTGAAGGATATTATCGGGAACCTGATCACGACTGCAGGGAAGGTGGTGGTCACCATCCTGCTGGGCATGACAGGTGAGCGGCTGTGGATGAGGAAGAGTGAATCTGTGTGTTTATTTTACAGCATTACAATTGGAATATTTAAGAAATGAATATGACATTATCACATTCACAAAGTGTGCTTCCATTTTAGTGTGTGCAGGTTTGATTTTTACAGACTGTAGTTAAGAATTACAAATGCTTATCCACAAGCTGTTTGCCCAGCTGTTTGCTCTCATCAGCAGTGCTATGAAACACAAATCACTTCTTTAGGGGTGGTTCCCAAACCTTTGTCAAATAACCCAATGTGTGACCTTACACGTTCCATATGTCTGAATGTTATCATATGTCAAAGTTGTTTTATTTAGAATAAGAAGAATGCTTTTTTGTTTAAATAATTTTAAGAGTCGTGAGGATAAAAAAAAAAAACTGGATTGAAGGAATTATAAAAAATACAAATGCAATTTTGAGAAGAATACAGTATACAATACAATACAGCTTTATTTATTGAACACTTTAAACCTCCAGACCAAAATGCTGTACAGTCAAATAAACAAAACAAAATATACAAACAGTAACACAGCTCAGCTCACACACCATAAAACAAGTACAAGTAAAAACAATAGACAATTTAAAAGCAACACTCTAAAAGATGTCAATACGCTAAGGAGAAGAGGTGGGTTTTAAGAAGCGATTTAAAAGCAGGCAGTGTGGCAGCCTGTCTCATATGCATGGGCAGATCGTTCCACAGTGTGGGAGCCGCTACAGAGAAGCAACGGCCCCCTCTGAGCTTAGACCTGGTTCTGGGCACGTTCAGGAGCAGTTGGTCCGCTGACCTGAGAGGGCGGTTGGGCGTGTAAGGGTGTAGCAGCTCAGAAAGATATGGTGGGGCCATGCCATTTAGGGATTTAAAAGTAAATAAAAGGATTTTGAAATGAATCCTAAAATGTATTGGCAGCCAGTGGAGCGAAGCCAAAATGGGGGAAATTTGGTCATATCTCCGTGTGCCAGTTAAAAGCCTTGCTGCGGCATTTTGCACCCGCTGCAGACGAGCGAGGGAGGACCCACTGAACCCCATGTAGAGAGAGTTACAGTAATCCAGCCGAGTGGTGACAAAGGCGTGGATTACTGTCTCAAACTGCTGTCTGGAGAGAAAAGGTTTTTTATTTGATTTCCAAGTCGAGAACCCCATCTTGTATTGGCTAAGTCAAACAGTATCTTCCCATTACATTGTTTAAACTGTCTTCTGAACTACATGTGAGGTGTAAGCGCTGTAGGGTCGAGGAAATGACGTCAACATTTAAGTCACAATCTTTCAAATTCAACAATTTACTTCCCGAGACCTTTGAAGTGTTGTGATTTATTTATAACAAATGCTGAGTGATAACAATCGTCCTGATCGGTCTTCTGATATGTGTTTATTCTCGCAGGTATCATGCTGCCCTCGTTGACTTCGGCTGTTTACTTCTTCATCTTCCTCTTCCTCTGCACCTGGTGGTCTCTCTGCCGGACCTTCGACACGCTCATCTTCAGCTGCATGTGCGTCCTCATGGCCATCTTCAGCGCCGGACACATCATCGTCCTCTACCTCTACCAGTTCCAGTTCTTCCAGGAGTCCATCCCCGCAGACAATGTGACCGTGTAAGTTATTCAATCTTGAACTTTGTGCCATTTTTGAGATTCGTTTTGAACCTAGCACTAAAAAAACATACTTTTTTTTATCAGTTTAAATCAAAAAAGACTGTAATTTGTTATAACTTTGTTAATTAGATCTTGATGTGTATTATTTGACGTCTGTTCTGCCCACAGAAAGGGATGAGTCATACATTTTAAAAGCTAAATTCTATCTTTCCCCCAAACAACAGTGAGCGATGGCTCGATTTAGACACAAATTGCAATATATGGACTTAACGCGCGCTACATCGCCTGTCTATTTGATTTATTGTTGAAGTTGTATTTCTTTAGTGAAACAGCACACGCTCAAACTAATGCTCCGTGCTGATGTGAGAGTAAAACGATGTGATGACAGCACACAGCGGCCAGAGCTCCTTTGACTTGAATGTATTTATAACGCCCGAGGCAAGTTTGTTTAAACGATAATAAATATTTAGTATTGTTACAAACAAGAAGGCACAGAAAAAGGCAAACCCAGCTGGAGGGCAGATATATCAAACTCCTACTCACAGCACATCAATATCAGCAGCAGAGCTTTTAGGCTCTTCAACCAGGGATGTTTTATTATGCATGAGATGGAGACAATCAGCTGTCTGTGGTGAGGCTGTGGTTGGAGTTCAGCCACAGCGCTGCACATCTTGCCAGCGTGCGTTAGTCACAGCTGTAATGACTACAAACTCTGTAGCAGAACGTTCCTCCATCACTAAGCTCACTCTGTCTGACTGACAACCTGGAATGCTAAGAATGCTGTTTATTTACTAATTACTCAAAAAGACACATTAAGACCACCACCCTGGATGATTAACAATCAATCTCAATCTCAATCTTTATTTATTTATATAGCACATTTAAAACAACCTTCAGTTGACCAAAGTGCTGTACAGGCAATAAATATTAAATAACACAATGGGAGTACAATAATAAAACAATAATTAAAAACATGATAAAAAGCACAATAACTAGAAAAATATTTAAAAAAAAAAAACACATACAAATGTAAAAATGTAATGTTCAACTAGTATTAAACAAAACAGAGATTATCTGAAAGGCAGATCATTCAGCTTTTACAGATGCTACCACGTTCTTATAATTTCAAATCATATGTCCGTATTAATACTAATACTGTTTTTCCCATTTACATCTTACTAAACAAAACATTGCCAACATTAGTCATAACACTTTATTTATTTATTTACATTTCTTCTGAATCTGCATCAAATGACTCTGTGATGTCAAATGTAATATACAAAAATGTAAAAAAAGGACAAAGACATAACTGCTGTCAAAGAGACAATAACAATAATATGTACTTATTCACGGTGAACCGTCAAATAGGTAAATGTAAACCAGTAAATCACTTCCAAACAAAGATACAACCAGATGCAAGCAGCTTAAACACATGCATGTAATATAAAGAAACAGTACATACATGAGATGTACTATGTTGCTGCTCTGTCATTTCAATGCAATTCTATAATAACCGTATTTTAAGTTTTTCTAGCTGATCTATTTTCAGAAATGACAAGTAGTGGAGCTTTGTTCCTTTATGACAACTGTCTCGTTCGGCCTGTCACTGCATCCCAAATAAAGGAGTTTGAGCGGAGAGTGACGATGCCTCTAACTAGTTACTTTTGTTTTATTTGCACACGTTTAGCGGCCACAATAGCTGCACAATTCTTTTGTGAACTCGCCCCGCTATTGTCTCAGAGTAGCTATTGTCTCAGAGTAGCTATTGTCTCCCTGCCCTTGGTGTTGCAGGGTTTTATTGATCTCACAGTTTCTCATTTGAAAGCTGTGCTGCTGTGTGTCCGGAGCGAGGCTATTTACAGCTATGTTTAGCTGAGGCTGCCTTGAACAAACCTCGCTGCCTGCCATCCTCCTCCTGGGTCAGATGGCAGATAAGGTGTGATTACAGACACTGCTGCATTGATGGACGTCTTGTTAGGAAACTCATTAGAATGAAAGGACCCCTCTCACACCATCGGCACAGTCATTAATAGTTTGTTTAAACTGTGCAGGCTGTGCTCTCTATACAGTGACAGCAGTATTTAAAACTAGTTTCAAATCAAGGGGTCACCATATAAAAGATACAAAAAACTACACTTTAAGGCTTTAAAAAAATCTGACATTTTTACCTTTTTGAGCTTTTAGGATTCTCAAAAGTTATTAAATACTGGATATCTTTCCTCTTCAGGCTTCTGACAATACTTAAAGCTTGTAAGATACTCTATTTTACCTTGACAAGGACTGAAATATCCTTAAAGCTTGTAAAATGCTATTTATTATTACCCGTTTGGCCCGATAAGTGCCCAAAGTGAGGAGATTCTGTACATTTTAATCATTTTGGGACTTTCAAATTCTGGAAAGTAAAATGCTAGAAAGTCACTTCCTCTAAGGGCCTTTAAAAATCCTGAAATGAGACCAAAAGAAGGTAAACACGCAGCTCATAATCCATAATCACACTCAGTCGCTGATGAACATTACTTCATGTTAAAGGGTCATGAGGTCAGAAGGTTGGGAACCATTAATGGAGTAAATATGACAAAAAACAAAAGAATTATCAGTAAAGTTAAGACCCTAAACGTCTACATCGCTTCATTAAGTAAACAGTTTAGTGTGTCCTACATTTGGGGAAGTACACCATGACTCTAATCTTCTTTGATTGCTCATTACACGCCACCTTTTCCATCCTCTGAGGTCTCCCCTCATGTGTTCATGTTGACTTTCTGCAGCGTTGAGGTATTTCTGTCTCTCGCTGTGTGAAAACTGAGGCCCACTTTGACGAAAAAAGTTACCCACCACTGTCCTCTGACCCTGCCTGTTTCCTGTTGCCACCCTCAGACAGTCTTTTTTTAACCATTGTCTTTATGGAGCATCCACATTGAAAGACACTAAAAAAGACCAACAACAACACAGAAAGAACAACAACACTAAACCATGTTCATGACAACAATGGTACAAATAATGAGGCAAATACATACAAAACTTAAACTCAAGTCCAAGTAAATACAGGTAATATAGGACATGCACATAATGGTGATGATAATAATTACTACAATTAAAAAATTAAAATAATAAGAAATGCAATAAAAACATATAAAAAACCGATAATAATAATAATTAAATACAAATTTAAATAATAATAATAATAAAACAAGAAAATAATAATAGTAATATATATATATATATATATATATATATATATATATATATATATATATATATACAAAGAACACAAATATAAATGTCTAAATAAATAAAGGTTACTGTTCCTCGCTGTCCAAAGCTTAAGACATATCCTTGTTTACCATAAAAATCCATAAAATGCTCCCAGATAGTCTGAGGGAAACTCTTCTGGTTGTAAATACGTGGAGCTACGATTGGACAATGGGCCCCCTCAGTGCCGCCCTAATTGTGCTTGTTGACAGTAACTCGGCCTTGCTGTCGGCCGGTGTTGAGTGAAGCTGTTGAGAGGCCTGGCTTCCACTCCACTTCCTGCCTCTCCTCCTTACAATGGAAGTCCCCAGTCATGTGACTAGTGGGCTTTCCCTCCCAGCTGCAACAAGAAACCGGTCAGGAAGTGTGAGGGGGTCAGAGGGGCGCGTCCACTCCTCCACATGGCACACAAAGAGAGAGAGAGAGACTCAGGAGGCGTCTAGATCAGGGGTGCCCAAACTACGGCCCGGGGGTCAAATGCGGCAGTGGCGGCTCTCAACCAATTTGACTGGGGGGGGGGGCCAGGCTGGGGCCAGTTATTTTCTGAGAGGGGCACAATAAATGCAGGACGAAAAAGACAAAGACAGTATGAAGTAATTGTGCATAAGAAAACAATGCTATACAGTTATTGGTACACATATTTATTTCAGATAGTTATAGTTACAGTTTTTACGCTCTAATGGGTCCGACTAGAATGACAAATAGCGTTAGTTCCGCCTATTCCGTCAGCCAAGAAATCGTTTAATCATAAACTTTTCTTTTTCATGGGGGCCACAGGGGGGTCCAAAGTCAGTGTTTTACGGGGGCCCCCCTAGAACCGCCCCTGAAATGCGGCCCGCGGACCGTTTTGAATCGGCCCTCAGCAAATTCAAAAAGTATAATGGAATACGGCCCACAAATGAAACTTGTGCTTGTCTTATATTGTACTTCTTAAATATAATGACTTATTTACATAACAAGCTTGAAATACGCCCTTCATATTCCCTCTTATTATAATCAATCTGAGGCTTCTTCTTCTCAAGGGATGAGCTGCCAACACTCACAAGCATCATTTACCTACATGTGATTGATGTTGCTAACTTATAACTGAACTTACTGTATGAGGCTATATATACCTCTAGTGAGTGGCCCAGCCCTTCGTATATTTTTCTGTATGTGGCCCTCGGTGAAAAAGGTTTGGACACCCTTGGCCTAGATCTATGTGGCTGTCACTGGGACACGTCAGCAGACTTCCTGTGGAGTACCTGATCTTTGTTTTGCTCAGAGGAAGAGGAGTGAATCATATAGCATCCTTTGTGGTTCAAACAGAAGTCTAGCGTCAGTGCATTTCGATTAGATTCCAAGGTTAGAGAGTGGAAGGAAATCTTACTGACAGGAATGTCATCAATAGAATAGCAGAAGTGGGGTTGTATAAGGTACTTATCCGTAGTCAGTGTGTAGATAATGGAGAAAGAGACAGGAGTTATGGCTTGCAAGTTAAGCAAAGTCATAGCTACAGTGTAGATATGGCAAGGAAAATCTTTAGTCTCATCCAACAATGCAACATAAATATATATAAGACATAAAACACATTTAAAATAGATTAAAATAGTGCAAGTTGATGCAGTAATGCAGAGGAAGTAAACCATATACATGTTAAAATAGTAAGTAAAAACAATAATCTAAATGTTGCAGAGAATGTTGTAAGATGTACTGCTTTGGATAGGTGCCGCAAAAGAAACCGTATTAAAGTAACAAAAAAACTGGCATAACTACAACATCTGTTTAAGGTTAACCAAGACACAGTTTGCCATCTCAGATTTAAAGGCGTGAAGAAGAGAAAGTATCCATTATTTATCAGAAAAATGAAAAATAATGATTCCTTTAATCCCCCTCCTCAGATTAAAGTTAATACAATGTTTAATATATAGGCCTCTGTGCACGGACAGCATGACTCAACAGTTCCTAAAATCCTTTGTGTCGTTTGCATCAGCTGGTCCACGCTGGCTTTGTTTCTGTGATCGATCATTTGGTTTTAAGACTGAGAACCCAAGAAGGCCTCACACGCTGAATTGAATGTAATCAATCGAACAATACACTTATGTTGCTGAGAACCGTCTTAATCCACTGATTAATAACTCTGCTTCAAAAAGATTTAAGAACGAGTATTCCTCTCTTTGCTGTTGTTGGGCGACAGAATTCAAGAAAGACAATCGGATTTTCTTAATTGTTGTCTAATAAATAAATGTTAAGTTAAAGGATGAAAGGGTTTTAAAAAAATTAATGAGTTAGAAAAGAGAGTCAAACTTTGATAGACAAACAATCCTGACTGCAACTAATTGTAAGACATCAGAATAAAAGGCCAACAAAATGACCCTTACAATCTCCTACAGTGAATTGTTGCGTATTCAAATATCGTTTTTGTCAAACCAAAAGTCCAAACCCCACAAATCTTACATTTATTATAATGTTAGATCAAGATAAACAGGTCATGTTATCTTCAGTACCAAACATTATCCAATATTTAGCCTTTTTGCATGAACAATTATGATTAAAGGTGGGGTATGTTATTTATTTCAGAAACACTTTTTGTTATATTCCATGGAATGCTCTTAACATCCCGATAGCAATGAATATCTTAAGTGCTTTGACAATAAATACATAAAAAAATGTTCATCTGTGGAAGCCGTAATACTGTAAAAAGTACGACCAATCATTTTAGCTGGCCCGGCTAAAATAACTGGATGGCCTACCTGCCTGTCAGCCTTCCATCTGTGCACAAACTTATCTCGTGCCCTCATTGGTCATGTGTGCGTTCGTGTGTGTTGGAGGAGGGGCTCTATAAGGAAGGGGCACATTTTTTCCGGTTGTGTATTTTCAAATTCTAGCGCACTCGAGCTGGTTTCTCCATTCTTACCTACCCTACCTTTGATACATTAAGTAAAATGAATCCATAGTAAAGCGATTGATCTTCTGTTGATTTACTTATTAAACTAAGTTATTACAGCTCAATCACACAGACATATTTTCTGGCAATAAAGTTGTATTTTCCCGATGAGAAATCACATCCTTACCTTACGTCAAACGTACTGTTTATATTGACATTTGATGATAATAAGAAGCGCCTTTGTCTCTCTATACTGTATCTCCATGTCATTACAATGTTGTCTCTTGCCACTTTTTACTCAAAGTTCCTGATGTTATAACTCAAATCCTGGCAATGGTTCCAGTCCTCATATGTCTGTCTGTGTTTCTCTTTCTGTCTCTGCAGAGTATTTGGCATCTCCCCCATTATCCAGAGCGACTGCTCCTACACGTGGAAGCTCATCGTGCACCCGGAGCGTAAGTGGTTCCACTTTGTGAATCCCATCATGCTGCTGCTGCTCTACTACACGCTGGCCACGCTCATCCGCCTCTGGCTGCAGGAGCCCATCGACCAGCTGACGGTGAGACACCATGCAATGAGAGCACATGATGAGAGGGTTCAGTTAAGATAAGATAAGATAAGATTTTATTGATCCCAATTTGGGAATCGTTTGTGTTGCAGCAGCACACAGTAAAAAGACATGGCATTGTACAATACAAATTAAAAGACACGAAATAAACAAGAAAGTAGAAAATATACAGGTTGAATTGACAAATTAACAATAACAAGATATAAAGGAAGGTATTATATATACATAAGTAAGATGGAATATTAAATATTAAACTGAATATATAAATGTAACATGTACAGTGAAGAGAGAAACTATGGAGCAGAGACTTCTCAGTTCACAGCTTTGTGACATTTACTGGAAGATGTGTCCATAAACTGGTCACACTAGATCAGGGGTGTCCAACTCAAATACACAGTGGGCCAAAATTAAAAAATGGGTACTAGTCGAGGGCCGGACTGGTTCAATGTTTATTGCAAAACGTATTGAAATGAACTTATTGCACATATTAAACCTGGAACTAACAAAGCTTAAATTATTGCCTATAAAAACAACATTAAACATTAAATAATCAGTTGCATTCATTTCTTATGGCTCTGTCTGCAGCTTTTCCGGAGTCATTTCTTATGATTACATTTTTCCACAGGCCAACAACAGCTTCAAAAAAACTATTCCCCTCAAAGAACAAACCAAACACACCCTGTTGTCGCAAGAAAAAAAGTGCAGAAGGAAACATCCATTAAACTCAGTTTGCTGCTCTGTGATGCTAGTTGAAGCCAGATACTTGGCATCTCATCTGGGGTGCAAGTTCATCAATGTTTGGGCTCAGGCTCTGAGCTGAGGAAACCCTCAGGATGGAGTGAAGGTGTGCGTGCAATATACCGGCGGGCCAGATCTAATAGTAATTAGAAATTATCCTGGGGGCCGAAATTAAATCCACCAAGGGCCTGATTTGGCCCCCGGGCCTTGAGTTTGACACATGTGCACTAGATTGTGAATGAAAAGCAAGTGATTGATTTGTTAAATTTGGCATATATTCGTGTGTATAAGGATCACTGGCAGTGAACGTAGGGGATTACTTTAGTCGGGATTACTTTAGTCGGGATTACTTTAGTCGTTGTTATTGTTTGTTTGTGTACATACAATCAGCACATTGTTATACAATACAAATGGCTCATTTGTATTGGCATATATTATGTTTACCATTACTATGACAAACACTGCTTATGGATTGTCGAAACTAAATAAAACAATTTTTGATTAATCTGTTAAACCTTAGCAATTTTCAGAAACCATTAGGAATTCTTAAAGGGAAAATATAACATAACAACTTTGATTTGTGATAAACTGTAGTTGTATTTTTCTGGTTCAAGCCATCAAATTGATCATGACTTTTTTTCTTATTCGATTTTACCAAATTGTTCATTAATAATAAAGAGTATTAAAGTGTGAAAGGCACAGTTTTAGTAGACAAGTATGCAACGCAGCCTCAAGACTTCTAACAAATATTTCGTAAAACATTTTTAAACACATTTTATTCAAGTCTTTGCTAAATGCACAAATGTCCCACCTGCTTTAATAATAATAATAATAATGCATTTATTTTTATATCGGCGCCTTTCAAGGCTCTCAAGGTCGCCGTACAAACACATAAAAAAGATACACAATACATAACACCAGCATAAGAAACATCAACAAGACAATGCCGTATATAAATCCATCAAATCAATAAAAACAGAGGATGTGTGATGGATAATGATCAGGGTGGATATGCGAGTGTGAAGAGATGTGTTTTGAGACGTGATTTGAAAATGAGGAGCGAGTCAGTGTTGCGGATGTGAGGTGGGAGAGAGTTCCTGAGGCGGGGTGCAGAGCGGCTGAAGGCTCTAGACCCCATGGTGGTTAAACGGAAGGGGGGTGCAGTCAGTGAGGTGGAGGGAAGCAGAAGACCTGAGAGTGCGGATGGGTGTGTTGATGTGCAGGAGGTCGGAGAGGTACAGAGGAATGAGGTTATGAATGTATAAAAACTATACGGGATTTGACGGAGAGCTATCTGTGAATTATGCATTATTCTGTGAGAACAAAGCAATTAGGCGACCGGACGATAACAGACAACATAACTATGTACGTATATCAAAGATTCAAATAGAGCGTTTAATCACATTTTAGATAAGACAATCTCCTCGGGATAAAATCACTTTTCTTTTTCCCTACAAACAGCAAGTGATTATTATTTTTGAATTTAAATGACCATGAGCTACTGTTTAGAGAAAGCTAGATCCACAGAGATGTTTTGGTTGAATTCAACACGCCACACATCCACTCGGCTCCTCACTAGATCCCGACAGAGGACTGAAATAGCAGCAGATTGGATTAAATGTGCAGCCAGGTGGCCTCGCGATCAGAGAAACTTTATTGATGGAAGATTTCAGGACGGTCGATGGCTGTGCGCCGTAGCTCAGGTGTTATCTGACACACTGCTGGTCTAATTCTGACGAAGGCAGCGTGCATCCCAGCATGATGTGATCTATAGGAGCACATGTTCCCGTTAAGAAACAACTCGAAGGCCACTGGTCCACATTTAAAGAAGAGTTTGTAATATATGGTCTATAAATGGAGGAAGCCAGTTAGTGTAGTAAGTATATCTTTACCCAAAAATGTCTTATTGAGAGGTGCTTCAGTTTTTAAATCTTACTATAACCAAACAATACAAATAACCCAGTCTGTTTAATATCATTTTTCTGATAAGATATATCCCGCTGAAGGTCTAGGTATTGTTTTAAAACAATATTCAGGATCCCATATGTACATGTAAAGAGTTTTTACTTGCTGTATTTATTTAACCTGTTCTTACTAACCATTGAAATATTTAGTTTTATTACATGGCTTAGTTGAATACTCTATTCTGATTGGTCAATTCAGAACACGTGACACGTTGTTAATCCAAAACAGACAGACCGCTGTCAAGGACTTATTGACCGTTGTTAAGGACGCTTACATCTGCAGAAAGAAGTTCGGTCGATTTAACTGTATACATGCTGCACATTATCCCTTACTTAACTTTCTCCCAATAACACAAATAGAGAATCCATCATTCTAGTTTTGAACAAAAAAAGAAACCCCAAAGTTGATTTGAGGTTAGTATGAAGTGAAATCAAACTACTCAGTATCTTCCAAACATAACTATAGACTATGGACCGGGGATTTAGTCCACCTCACTCACGTTGAGAGCGCTTTAGGGGTTGCTTCTTGAATGGCCTAATAAAACAAGCTAAGTGTTTGTATATGGACACCTGACACACTTGGAAAATGGAAACATGTCCTTTAATTTATTAGGTACAAGTGATTATCTACAAAAGTATAAAATACATAAATAAAACTGTCAATTTAACAATTAAAGATTTGCTGAGGGAGCTGTTTTAAAACTATAACATAATGTTAACCTCTGAATGACTGAATGTAGATTGAACTTAAAGGGTTAGTTAATGCAAATGACGAAACACGCTCTCAAAAAACGGTTGCTGATTATCCAGAGTATATGCATTATTTCTGACAAGAGAGTTGCTGTTTATAATATTTTAAATGTTTTTATTTTATTTCGTATGGCACACCATTCACCTCTTTGGGTATCAGCAGAAATCTCTGAGGTAAATCAAAACGTTGGTACATGTTAGGGAATAATTTGCTTAGGTATTCAACCTTCGACCCAGTTCATCATGTTCTCCTCTCACTGTCTCCTTTCCCACGGCATAGGTCTACGGCCTTGGATATTGCTGCTATCTCTCTTAAGGAGGAGCAGCTTGGGCGCATTGTTGTTGCCAGTCTATGACCGAGCACAAGCCGCCATGAGGTAGTTAACTGTTCAGGGACGAAGGTTCCCTGACGCACATTCTTTTCTATGGACGAGAGCTCTAGTTAGATTCAGGGTCCATAATTGTTTAGTCTCACTGATAAAGAATGTTGATTATTACACTGCGAACTAGTTAAAACCTCGAGCTGCAGAACTTCAGAATTGGTTTGGCAACCGCTGTGTCAACTCGTGAAGCACCGCCTGTCTTGTCAATTCTCTGGCCGTAACTCCAAATAAACCGTCAGTGTTTGCCATCAAAGCTCCAGCTCTCCTCGTGCCTCTCTGAGTCCTGTTTCCAATTGCTTCAGACGTTTCCCCCACAGTACATAAAACCAAATGATCTCCATAGGGATGCAACTAATGATTATTTTCATGAATTTATCCTGCCATTTATTTTTTCGATTTCTTGATTAATTAGCCTATTAAAATGTCAGATAATTGTGAAAAATGTCCACCCAAGTTACTCAGTCAGAGATCTTTAAATGCCTTGTGTTTAACGGCCACAAATCCAAATATATTCAGCTTGGAACTCTCCAATGTCATGTAATGTGGGAAATGTCATGAATGTCGCTCCTGACTTCATCTTCGCGGCTCGAGGATTCATCTCCTCCGTCTGTAATGGAGTTATAGATCTGTGTTTTTATAGAGGGGTCAATACTTCCCTGTAAACCTGTGGGGCCGTATGCATTATCGATCTTTCCACAAAGGGGTGTGTGAGAGTGTGTGAGTTTTAACCTTACACTTTAGATGACTCTAATAATAAAACATAATTACAACATCGCTCAGCAGCTGACAGCTTTGTTTGGCAGTGAAAACGCCACATAATGATGGATCTTATCTTCACAAAAAGACAATAAAAAGTTTTACAGTTAAAGAGGCCCTACTATTATTTTTGGGGGGGATTTTCCCTTTCCTGTAATGTTATATAGGTTTGTGTGCATGTAAATGGTCTGCAAAGGCTACAATCCCTAAGTTTCTCTCCCACACACTCCCCCCCCCCCCCCCCCCCCCCCCCCTCTCTGAAACGCCTCCATTCGACTTTGTGTACTTCAGCAACATGATGTAACACTTGCGCTTCTATTGGCTAGCGCTCCGACCCATTATACGTGATGTAAACACGATACAGTTAGTGGCGGACGGTCGACAATGTACTAGCGGTTAGGGCTGTGCAATTAATCGTATTTTAATCGCAATTACGATTTTGGCCTGCCACAATTACGAAAACAACATAATCGAAAAAAATGATTATTTTGCTTTGCTAGGTTGTGACAGTGCACTGCAACATATTTGATCAAATGTATTTGTATTTATCATATTTATATATGTTTAGTAGCTTGTTGAAGTGCGCTCCAAAATATTTGTTGATCTTGTTTATTGGTATTTATTATTTTGATATTATTTATTTAAATGTAGATATAAATGTATCATTTATTTTAGTATTGGTTTTTCAGTTGAATTATACGCTCGGGGAAATCAGCAGTTAAAAAGATACTGTTCAAATTATTATTTGTATTTAAAAGTTCAATAAATGGATGTTTTCAAAGTCAATGAATAATCGTATTTAATAATCGTGATATCAATTATTGACCAAAATAATTGTGATTATGATTTTTGCCATAATCGCACAGCCCTACTAGCGGTATTTACTTGCGGTACCGAGGTGGGCCGGTCGAGAGTCCCGGGCTGATTTTTAGTCAGTAGAGAAACAAAATACAACTATGACCTGGAAAATGAGCACAATAGGGCCAATTCAAAATGTGGACAATGCAGTTTGATCTTATTTATAAAGGATTGTTTCTGATTGCCATTTTGTTTATCTCTAAGAAAAACATTTAGCAAACACTCAAAGAACTACAATAATGACATTTGGATTTCTCCTTCAGGCAAATGGATTTAATATATTAAATTCAGATTTTCGTGAACATTTTGATATATAATTAAGAAAATCAGAGACAAAAAAAGGTGCTGACAACAAGACATGATTATCTGATATTGAGCCCTTACACAAATGTTACAATACACCCTCTTTCTGTCATTTTTTGGGTCAGGTCTTGTTTTTAGGTTTGTCTTTTTATTTTATTAAACTGATGCTTAAAATTCCTAAAACGTGCAAACTGCAAATAGAACAAGTTACATTTTCTTTCCATTGTGAAATTAACAAGAAAACAGGTCCTAAAAGCTGAACAACTGGCAAGTTAATAGCTTTTTCAACATGTTTCTCTCACACTTTGTGATAGTTAACACACCGAGACACTGCTGAGATGATGCAGTTAGTTGTTAAAGGTCACCCAACTCCTCCTCAGATGCGGCCCTCCTACACACTTCTTCAAAAGGCGCTGATTAAAACTGGGATTCTTGAAAGCAAGAGACTGCTTCTCCAGTGGAGGAAATATATTTATCTTCCAAACTGTCTATCTTTGTTTTTTCAGGACGACAAGGACGACGATAATATGTGTGAGGAGGAAGATCTGGATGGAAACACAACGAATCACGGGGCCAACAGGAAGAGGCAGCTGTGGTGGGAGTCACGCCAAGGAACAGATGAGAAAAACGTACGTCACGGTTATTACACACACGGCTAACAGAGTATTGATTACTGGACGGGTCATGAAGTCACCATCTTTTAGTTAGGATCTCATTATTTTCAACAGCCCTGAAAATATCATAAATATCTGTGAAGAATAATTTGCTTCAACTTCTCATCTTTCATCAAGCTTTCCCGATTAACACATTTCCTTCTTACGACTGATAACTAATGTTGACCTGGAACATTTTGGTTTAATTTGTAACGTTTCAAATGTAATGTATAAAGATAATACTTTTATAATAACACATTAGAAACACAGTTAAAAAAAACAATGGGAAATAAAAGAATAATTAATAAATTAATGCAGAAAATAAATTCACACTCTAGCAAATATATAGGTTATACAAATAAAATTAAAATAAATACTGTAACATTTAATAAAAATAATAAAAATACTAATAATAAAATAAAATAATAGTAATATTGATAATAATGAGGAAATACAAATAAATAATAAAAGAAAATACATAATAATAATAACAATAATTCAATTATATAAAATACATCATAAAAATGATAATAGTAATAATAAAAACAATATTTATTGCATTGAAAATGGTTATACTGTACACTCAAGCGTACATCTTGTCTCACCGAGCCTCACCTCCATCAGAGCCTCATCCCTGGAAAGACTTCAGCTGGAAGTGCTCACACACTTTCTGACCTTGTTCCTATATCAAGGTCTGCAGTCTGTCTCCACCGGCCACCTCCTGAGGTTTGAAAGCTTTTAGGGTGTGCAGACGCAGATGAGTGATGGGTTTGATTCACAGACTTAGTTCCTGTATATCAGCGACTATAGAGAACAAGGAGGCCTTTGACATCAGCAGCTCATCGATAACACACCTTGCCTTGTATGCTCTTTTTCTCTTCTCCTCCTAGCTCCTCTCCACCCAAGATGGCTTCAGTACAACCGAGGTGGGGGCTGCTCTGGATGTGTCTCAAATCTGTGCATCTTTACCCCCTTTTACCCTCAGTCTTGCTGCAAGAAAAGGAATAATTGCAAAGTGCTTTTCACACCGCACCCTTAAAGGTCCCCTATTATACTGTTACTTTATTACAGGTCTCAGATATATACAAAACATGTCTCTGAAGTGTTTGGCTCCAAACACCAAACAGATCATTGCAGCATCCCATAATCCCCTCTGTTTCAGCCCTGTTTCAAAAGTGCTGATTCTCTGTCTGTTACTTTAGATGAAAATAAGGAGCCCCTCCCCACGCCCCTCTGAGAGATATTTGGTTACAAAGAACACAATGGTGCTCTAGGAGGAGATTCAGGTGATAAGGTGGGGGGGGGGGTTACCTTGGTTGGTGATTGGCTAATGGTTACACAAGCTTAAACATCGTTATGACATCATGAAGTGGCCAAAATCTAATCAGCTCATTTTCAGACAGGTTGTTATATAAATGGATCAGGACAAAAAGAGAGCAAATATTTTCTCCTGAAACTTTCAGAATCTCTTTACACAGAGGGGAGTATGAAAGACATGAAGAAGTGGATTTTGCATAATAGGTGACCTTTAAAGAACATGGTTATCATTTGCTGTGTTTAGAAGTTCATGTTTACCTCTTTTCCCCTTTGTGTTTGTACTGTTTGTCTGTCGTACTACACCTGCTCCATTCTCAACATGGAATCATTAAGCCACTGTGCTCAAGTGCCTCTGGGATTGAAACATGGAAAATGTCAGGACGTTTAAAATAAACAAGTTATCGGTGTTTTATTTTGGAAAATGTTTGAATCAGAATAGACTGTTGCAGGGATGACAGATTTGTTTAGGCCAACCTGGAAGTTAGCATCACCCTGGATCCCTTGACAAAAAGCCATTGGGTTTTTTCCATTGGACTTTTAATAATTTCCAAAAATAAGCTCTGTGGCAAACAGCGTTTTGGATGAAATGGTCATATTGCCAGGTTTAAAAGTCATGATTTTGTCTGAGGCTCCGCAAACAACTTTGGAAGTCTGTGGCTCGTATTTCTCATGTTTCCAAAAGCACAGAAAGGTAGTATCCAAATATCCAAGTTACTCAATTCAGAGGTTGTTATCACTGTGTTGAAGGTCAGGTTTTGTCTGTGTTAAATTTAAGAATGTGCAGTGTGAAAAGTAGAAGAAATCCCTGTACCGCCCTACAAAGACAAAGTGTGTCTGCTAACACTTAACTTATCTGAAACTTAAAATAAAAACACCAAATCTAACATGTTTTTTCCAGTTTGTGGATCATTTGATCAGATAAAGCAGTTTCTCCTGTCTGCCTTTGTGGGGCAGAACGCAGTACAGTAATGTGATCCCATAGTAGACCTGTTCTCTCAGATACAGAAGTGTATTTGTAATTTCTGATGATGATCTGCAGGCTGTTCCCATCTCAAACGGGACGTCCTTTGAGTTCGTCACCACTGAGAATGGACCGGTCTGCCTGGACTTATATTCCACCCCGCAGTATAAAATGGACCAGCCCAGTGACGGTACAGGTGAGCAGTTTAATGTCTTCTCTCTTCATTTAATTTAAAAGTAAATGACAACTAAATAGAGTTAAACTACTGTGGAAAGAAACGTTATCATTAAAAATCAGAAGCGTATTCGGAAACCTGGTTACAGATGGTATAATGTATATGTTAGCGAAACAGGTTTATGCTGCATTTGTGTCGTTATATATAGTTGGATATCAGCACGAAGTCTTTGTGTTTAGTTACACTGTAAACAAATGTATTTCGTAAGGTATATTTTCTTTAAATAGTAAGCTTACTTTTGTTAAGACATACTCTCTCTCACATTCAGAAACTCCTTCTATCAAAAGTGTGTGGTGGATAATATTGATGTTATTATTATACGGCAGTTGTTCCCAGTTTCTGGATGTAATTAAGAATTACAGAACAACATATATGCACTATGTTTATCGTTGATATTATTGTTGTATTTTTAAAATAACTGCGTCAAAAATCATTGGATTTTCCTGCCATAGACACATTCCTTTGTTTTAATTCCACCACATTTAATTGTCTTCACTTGTACTTTGCACTTGTACTTGCTTAACTGCACATTGTCACAACTGAATTCACAAAATCAAGTGAAGGGGTAGTTCACTGTTTCTACAGGTCACAGTCAATTGGCTGTCCGTCATGAGCCTGTGAACACAGCTGCTTAATGTCTTCTGTTATTGAAGTAGCTTGGTAAAGTTGTTTTGGTCTTGCTAGTGGCTTCTTCATGATGAGATAACACTTTATTTATCCCGACGGAAATTGTTGTGCCAGAGTTACAAAAATACAATAAACACAATAGTAAAACTGTACACTAAAAGTGCTGTAAAAAGAGTAATTAAATATCTACAGGAAACATAGACGGTCACATAATTAATGTAATTATTATCAGTATTCAGTAGTGCAAAAAAAAACGTAGTGGCAGATACGTAATTGCACGTTATCATAGCACATTATTAATAATAATAATATTGCACATGTTATGTAGCAGCGAGTGTTTTGTAATGATGGTAATGATATTTATATTGCACATAGTGTTAGTGTGGAAGTTCTCAGTTTCCTTTACTGAAGGGTGAAGATGGCGATGTCTGTCCATTCCCACATACCGGATGTTTGCTTTTCACTCTTGTACACACATTCATGATCTATGATGATGAATTGTTGTCCCATACTCTGCTCGTAAAGTCAGATTATCTTGTCCTCTGCTGGACAGATTCCCACTCTGTGTCTTCGAATTGTTCCCAACTTTATACGTATAAGCTCAACCCTGAATCAACAGTTTCTCACGTAACTCAATAATGTAACCGAGCCCCGTAAGTATTCTAACAGTGAGTCGTGTTTCTGTGTCCAACCAGAGAAGAAGAAGGAGGAGTGTGTGTATGAGGTGTCTGTTCCCCTGGAGGAGTCGGAGCTTGAAGGAGGAGAGGAGGAATCTAAGATGAAGAAAAGAGGAGTCGGTGCGATGGTCAAAATCTTCCACTTTGTCCTGAAACAGAGCTACATCTTTGCTCTCATAGCCATGATGGTGAGTAACGCATCCCGCAGATGTTGAAACGTAGGAGCTACAGAAGCAGGCTTATGCTGCATTTTTGTCGGGAAATTCTAATTCCCTTAAGAGAAACTGATAAATGATGAATGGACACAGTTTGTCTTTTGTTATATTTGATAAAGTAATAAAGAAAGTCAATGTACAAATGAAATCGATCTCAAATGCAGGAACAGAGCAACTTCATCCTCAGAGGATAACATAGCTTTGAACACAGTTTACAGTCACACTATATAGTAGAAAGAAAATAGCCAACTGATCCCACGCATAAAGTATCTTAGGCATTATCTAAACATCCCCACCATTAAACCATAAAACCCCCCAGTCCTTAACCATTTGCAAATCCACCTTTTGCCCGTCCTGAAATGTCAATCCTAAACATATGTCTCTGTTAAACACATATAGACTAGATATACTAAAAAATACTATTTAATGGAGTAAAAGGCAATCAGAATATACAGTAAGACATAATCTATATATATCATTTCAATTATCATATGATAATTTGACACAACAGAAAACATTCAATATTACTTTTGTTTGTGCATTTAAAATGTATAACTGTTGCACAAATGACTCTGAGAATTTAATTTGAATACTGGAAAAGTCCGAAGTCATCCTCCTCTGTCCATACATGTATATGAAACTACTGTGCAATGCAAACCTGTGGAGCTGTTGGCAAGAATAACTACATTACAGTTTAAAACTCAATTGTATTCATCATAAGTTTCCTGCATCATTAAAGGTGGGGTAGGTAAGTTTGAGAAACCGGCTCGAGATACACTTTTTGTTATATTCCATGGAATGCTCTTAACATCCCGATAGCAATGAATATCTGAAGTGCTTTGACAAAAAATGCATAAAAAAATGTCATCTGTGGAAGCCGTAATACTGTAAAAAGTACGACCAATCATCTGAGCCGGCCTGGCTAAAATAACTGGATGGCCTACCTGCCTGTCAGCCTTCCATCTGTGCACAAACTTATCTCGTGCCCTCATTGGTCATGTGCACGTTCGTGTGTGTTGGAGGAGGGGCTCTGTAAGGAAGTGGCAGATTTTCTCCGGCTGTGTATTTTCAAATTCTAGCGCACTCGAGCTGGTTTCTCCAAAATTACTTACCCCACCTTTAAGAGTAAAACACGTCCATGTCTTGGTTCACAGACGGATTACTGGACAGGTTAGGGGTCTCCTAAGCAGACCTTTCGTTTGAATTTACTGCTAACATTTCTTGTTAGGAAGTCACAGACCAAAATAAAATGACCTAAAAGATGTGTTTTTGAATCTGTGGCTCTTGTTCTTATGTAGAAGTGATGAGCGCCTTTTATATCTCCCATTGTTTTACAATCCGAATATGTCTGAGTAACAAAACTTGTGCTGACATATATGACATGTAGGTCTATGTGATTTTGTGCCTCTGTAAACTAACGGAGTGAAAACTGCATGAACGCCGAGTGTTAGATCTCTGTATTTGACCTCCATTAGTCCTTCAGCATCGTCCTAACAGTAAGTTAAATGTTGTGTTGTTCAGGCGTGGAGCATCACTTACGTCAGCTGGCTGACGTTTGTCTTCCTCATGTGGTCGTGCACGCTGTGGATGGTGAGGGACCGGCGGCGCTACGCCATGCTGTCCTCGCCCTTCATGGTCGCTTACGGAGACCTGGTCATAAGTCTGCAGTACATCTTTAGTTTCGAGAACCTGGATCCTGACCAATACTCGGGGTTCTTTGTCAGCAAGAAAAACCCTTTCCACTCAATTTCATCCAAGGTTTGGAGTTTAAAATATACTTTATTTTGTCAGTGCCATGTATTTCTGTCTGCTAAAAGAACATAGATTGAGTGACAACCTCTGATGTAATATGTTCTTGGAGTTATAATGTGAGAAATGTACTCTGTGTGTAGCTAATGGGATACGCTGTAACAACTGGTTCTCTAGCAATCAATTCATCAGATCAAAGTGGGCAGTTTTACAATTCCTCCTGGAAAAAGGAAGCGTTTGTCCTGTTTGATGAACTGTGTCCGTCAGACTTTTAGTGGGATGTTTATTATCATCATACTACAGTTTTATTATAGAGTGCATATGTAAGGATCACACTTATCAAACTGTATTTTGTTTTGCTTTATTTAAAGTGTCAGGTGTGTGCAACATGTGCCTGACACTTTAAAAACTCAAGTCTGATTGTGTATATATATATATATATATATATATATATATATGTTTCCTGTATGTTGTTTTGACCACCCATATTGTGCTTTGAGCAAAGTCATTGCTTTCCTTTCTGTTTGTCTGAACATTTGATTTGTTGTGTGCAGATCATGTGTCTGCTGACCTTTTGGCTTCTGCTGAGACAAACACTTACAGAGAGAGAGGAAAAACTAAAAGAAGAAAGTGTCAGTCTGTCAGACGTTCATGTGGAGGATGAGAAGCAGAAGGGTAAATCCAGGGCTCTTATTTTACTGAGATTATAACAGAAGTAATTTAGAAAAATGGGCAGATTATGGAACAACGGGCCCCTGTGCACTGGCATGGGAAAGGCCCCAAGGCGCACTGACTTTGTAGTTTTGAAGCCCCTTTTTATTTAGAATCTCTTTGTAGTCATTTGAAGTTCCCTTGTTTACCTTATAAACACTTGGAGACGTTTCACTTCCACCTATCTTTTTAGCAGTTATAAGCAATATATGAGTAAGTATTGTGCATTAATAAACACTTGATAATGTCCTTGAATTATCTTATGACTACATTATAGTGCAGGGGTGTCAAACTCAAGGCCCGGGGGCCAAATCCGGCCCGCCACTTCATTTTATGTGGCCCACAAGAGCTCGCAAAGAATATAATCAGTTTATTATAAGGTTACGTGCCGCTTTACAGGAGCACGTTGCCCATAAACTACATGTCCCACAATGCATCTCATTTTGTGAGATGGCACTGAAGAGACTTGCAATTACAGTACTTGCAATTATTTGCCCTAGACTTCTGCTTTCAGACGTAGTTAATTATGAAGTTATTACCCTAGATAATAATCCAATGCAGAGGCAATATTGTAAAATAATACATTATTTTATATATATTATATATATTTATCTATGTATATTTAAATAGTTTTAAAGTTACCACCGGCCCTTTGAGTGCAACCATAATTCTAATGTGGCCCGCGATGAAATTTAGTTTGACACCCCTGATATAGTGTGTTACAAACCATCGATTTAATGTTTATCTTGTGCTTGCAAAAGCCAAAAAGGGTGGATTAAAATGTTGTTTTTACAATGTGTATGTTCCAGTTTGTGTGAATGCAGGTTATTTAGGAAGGTCTGAAGTTAGTCAGTTGGGCAGTGCATATTTTTCTCATTGGCTGCTGTGTTTTATAGAGGAAGAAGAGTCTGAGGAGGGAGGGGAGCAGGACATCATGCAGGTTCTGGGCAGCATGGTCATGGCTCTGCTGATCAAATACTGGATCTACATCTGCGGGGGAATGTTCTTCATCGTCAGCTTCGAGGGAACCATCGTCATGTACAAGATCATCTACATGATGATGTTCCTCTCCTGCGTGGCGCTCTACCAGGTAACAAAACACACCTGTACACATGTAACTAGATGGAAATGTTCCTTGTGATACTCAAAACACTATAAAAAACGTAGTTATCTTCACTGTGCAACATTTTGTCCACATTATTTAAAGGGGACCTATCATGCAAAATGCACTTTTATACATAAATATGTGTCCCCGGTGTGTCGGGGAACTCACAAAGTGTCAGACAATAAAACCCTCTCTCTTTTCCTCCGTACCCAAATCTCTAAAAACGGGGGTACAACGGAGCTGATCCAGATTTGCGTCCGCTATGATGTAATATCGGAAATGTGGGCTGGCTTTACACCCACAGCACTATCAGAAAGTTGCTAATGCTGTACATATCCGGCATGAATCGCTGAAAGGTTTTGGGAAGCTTTGTTTCGTGAAAGGCTGGCAGAGGGTGCGGCCATAGCTCTGGGCGTGGCTACTGGGTATCCCTACATAGCGATACCCAGGAAGTAAACAATGGAAAATTAGAAATCTCCAACGAGGCGTTTTGGGGCGGTGTATTAGAGTTTTACTCCCTACAGGGTGTACTCTGAGGGTTTTTGACTCTGCAGACCGTTTACATGCATAAAAACCTTCATAACACACAAGGGGACGGGTAATAACCGGAAAAGCATGACATGGGACCTTTAACACATTTTCAAATATATCCTACACACTTCAAAAAAGTCTCTTGCATTTCCTAAAATCTTTATCTTATAAGTCCTTTGAAAACAAAGTGGATGCATTAAAAAATGTCACATGTTAAAGGTGTTTTACTACTGAATGTGTAAATAACAAGCATCTTGGTATTAGAAGTTTGAATATGGATAGGAACACTGTAATGTTTCCAAACATTACATTTCCCAATTACAGAAGCTGCTGACATTTTTAGTATGCCATAAAAAGTTTGTGTACATAATCCAACCTGTATTCACAATGCTTTTATAACTACTGGAGTCAAAACAAAGCAGTAACCCTACATCCAGATGTGTTCTGTGTTCTATGATACATTTTGTGCATTAAAGCTGTTCACTTCTGAGAATTCATTACCCCGATAATCACAATTACTCCTGTTTAGGTGCACTATGAGTGGTGGCGGAGGATCCTGAAGTACTTCTGGATGTCGGTGGTGATGTACACCATGCTCGTCCTCACACTGGTCTACACCTTCCAGTTCAACATCTCCCTGCCTTTCTGGAGAGATCGGGTGGGAGTGTCAGAACAACAGTGAGCTCCTCAGAATAACCTTAATTATAGGCACACTGATATTTGAATGTTATAAAATAAACACAGTGACATAGAATAACATTTCAGGGAGTTTCATATACTGTTAGTAACACACATTTTAAACACTGTCCTCCGCTCTCAAATGTTAGTGGTTTGAAACATTTTTCATTTAACATACACAACATATTGTGTTTTAACAGGTGAGAACAGAAAGCACTTCCTGCTAAATAGAATAAACTCACATCTTACAGTTATGCAAATTCCAAAGTCACAAATTAATGAGAACAATTTGTTTTTTCTTGACATTTTTGCAACGGCATGTATTTTTTTTGCCCTAATTCATGTAAAACGCAATAACCAAGAATACATTGTATGAACTGTAGGTGTCTTCAGTTTAAACACGTTTATGTAAGTGAAGGTGATAAGCAGATTTCTTGGCCCGGTCCTGTTTCATTTTTCTGCACAAGGTATTTTACAAGGTTATGGGTAATTGTATATTATAAGAGTAGTACTACATAAACCCCTATTGTATACCACCCGGCAATGACAACATATTCATTCTCTTTATAAACTTTCATTATTGAGAGTATTTTTATTTGTTTTATTAACCTTCTTTTGTTTACCTTTTGTCATCAATCTACTTTCACTGAATCATTACATTACATGTCACTTGTTAGACGCTTTTATCCAAAGCGACTTACATACTCAATACTGTGGGCAATCCCCACAGGAGCAATTTGGGGTGAAGTGTCTCAGGGACACAACGACATGCTGACTGCAGTGGGGTTTGAACCCGTGCTCCCCTGATTTGAACACCAACGCACAACCCACTGCACCACACGCCTCCCATCCAATCATTTGAAAGCATTCCTTCCTGAGAAGTTTTACTCACATATACTGCAAAAAATGATATAAGCTCTCATGTTTTCTCCTGTTTCCTCTATTTTTTTCCCATCATGCAGCTTGCAGGACCTCGGCCTTGAGGGGTTCAAACTCACCGTTCTGTTCACCAGGATTTTTATTCCCACGTCCTTCCTGCTGGTGTGTATTCTCCACATGCACTACTTCCACGACAGCTTCCTGAAGCTCACAGACCTCCAGGCTGTCATGGCTAAAGAGGAGAGTACGATCTACAGGTGAGACGCGTTACGTTTGTTACGTTACGGTCCAAAAACTCTTCTGACTTTTCTTTCGTAACTGGTTGGTATAGGTTCATACAGCGAAGTAAGATAGCCCCACAGAGAGATTGCTAATAATCAATCAGTTCTTATCGTCGCTTTATATTTTATTATACATTGGTGTTAAGAAGTAGGCCATTGGTTTGATCTCTTTATGACTGTTTCTCAATCAGATGGTTATAAGAGCTTTTACTGATCATGAAAATACCTTTTAAAGCAACCAGTAGTAATGGATGTTCAGGACTTTTCAAAGATAAAAAAAATGAAATCTTCCATTTGTATAAAAATCTCTCATCATCTACAACAGGGGTTCCCAACCTTTATTGTGCCAAGGACCGGTAGATACATTAAAAAAAAATCGCGGACCGGTTGTCAATTTTAACTGATTTTAATATTTACTCACCACCAGCAGGTAGCAACAGAGTCTAATTGTATGTAACAGCCTGAACAAATACTAGAACAATATGCATCCAAAACATATTAACAAAGTTTAAAAAAGAACCGGTGTTGTTTTTTGGTTTTTCGGAAAACCAAAAAACCGACGTTATTCAGTTTTTAAACCAAAACGGGAAAACAGATAAATCAACGTTGTGGTTTTGTTTGTATGATTTACGGATACTCCAGTGAATGCTGGGAAAACGAGGAGAAGGCGCATTATGAACGAGATGTCCGGTCGCCAGGGTGGGTGTGTGTGTTGTGTGTGTGTGTGTGTGTGTGTGTGTGTGTGTGTGTGTGTGTGTGTGTGTGTGTGTGTGGGTGTTGTGTGTGTGTGTGTGTGTGTGTGTGTGTGTGTGTGTGTGTGTGTGTGTGTGTGTTGTGTGTGTGTGTGTGATGGGTGTGTGTGTTGTGTGTGTGTGTGGTGTGTGTGTGTGTGTGTGTGTGTGTGTGTGTGTGTGTGTGTGTGTGTGTGTGTGTGTGTGTGTGTGTTTGTGTGTGTGTGTGTAGTGTGTGTGTGGTGTGTGTGTGTGTGTGTGGGTGTGTGGTGTGTGTGTGTGTGTGTGTGTGTGTGTGTGTGTGTAGTGTGTGTGTGTGTGTGTGTGTGTGTGTGTGTAGTGTGTGTGTGTGTGTGTGTCCTGGCATTTGTTTTCAGCAGATATTATGCTAGTGTCGTTCGTTCCGGTGCACTCCCCCACAGCATTTAGCACTACATCGAGATTAAGATTAAACTAATTTATTTTGGGAACAGCCGCATATATGCCGGTGTCGGACACAAACACACCGAACACACAGAGCTGAGCTGAGCAGAGCACATACACACACACACACATCATGCGCCTTGGTGACTGACTGGACATCTCCTTCATAAAACTAATAAAAGGGGGAGTAATCGGGCAGTTCGATGTGTGTAGAGATGTGTGTGTGGTAACACGTAGCAGCCTGCAGTCACTCTTAAACTGTTCTGATTAAGTTAAACACAGCGAAGGCGGTGCGTAAAAAGGCACAGCTCTTTAACGAGTATACGTCCCGCTGCCTCCTGATGCTTCAGCCATTTCATGAAGTGAAGGAGGGTTTCCTTCTATAAAACAGCTGCGGGCAGCAGATACCGTGAGAGTCCCGGACATTAATTCATAGATCAAGGCAGACTGGTTTACTCTCCTGTTTTGCCAATCCGGTGCTTAAACAAATAGCTCTACACCCCTGGCCGACATGTCCTTAAAATGAAGTCCGAGTTTGAAATATATCTCAAATAATGTATGCACCACCATTTCCCCACATAAACATAACAGTCTGCAATCAAACGGTTGTCTCCTGTGCGCTCCTCTTCCTACTTGGCGCACCGGTAACATTCTCGTGCGCACAAGAGCCGCCGAATCCCTCGGAACATCATAAAAGCCATTTTCAACGGTTTTCTGGTGAAAGATTAACTAGCTACTGGATGAAATAATATGACTGGTGGCATAGGTGCGAAAATTAAACACTTTTTGAAAAAAATATTATGATAAAATATTTTTATATATTTATAATTCTGCAAATATTACGATAAACTCACAGCTATTTCGCGGCCCGGCAGTAACACCTCCGCGGCCCGGTACCGGTCCGCGGACCGGGGGTTGGGAACCCCTGATCTACAACACAATAAAGTGTGCAACACATGCAGTCAAAGGCCATGAAATCTCTTAGGAAAACATCTGCTTCCCTCTATGACGCAATTGTAAAAATACATGATAGGAACGGACTGAATTACCACTGAAAGTTGATAAACAAAGCCCATTCCTCATCTTTCTCCATTATATTCATGGTAACAGTTGAGCGTGAGGTGAAAACACTCATCCCTTTTCATGTCACACTATTCTGGATAATCACACTAACTGCTAAACACCCATCGTAACCACTGATCTTTGTCACTCATCTGTTGTTGCCGCTCCGTGTTATAACATTCACATTTTCAATTTAACTTCATCCGTGTTGTTGTGGATCTCATTGTTATCGTCGCCGCTCGCTCAGCTCATCTCTGCTTCTCTCTGTAAACCTGCTGCCATCTCTCCTCTCTTCTGACACCTTGTTTTTACACAGCCACGCTAAAGTCAATGGCCGTGTCTATCTGATCATGGATAGGTGGGTACCTGCTCGCTTTCTGTGGCATCCATCACCATCCCAGTTCACCTCTGAGTCTCAACTTCCTCTTCCTGTTGCAAAACGTCCTTTTTCCCCTCACTCTGACTTATCCCTGTGACCCTTTTTGTGGCAATGATACATTTATACTCCTAGACTTTTGGTATTTACTGACATGAATGGTGTTTGTTTTCAGGTTTTGTATATTATTATTTTGCCTGTAACCTTCTCTTCATGGGTTCTCTTCTTCTTCCTGGATCTTTAACCCCCCTCCAAACCCAAGCCCAGCCTTTTCCCTTCTACTTCTCTCCAAAAGAAACTGTCAAACAAGCATGTTTGATTCTAAAATAGCTATTCTTCCCTTCCAGTATCTTGCAACACACCCACTTTTCTGCACTGAATCCCAGAAAATTACCCCCTTTCCTGAAAAAGCTCGCCTACCCCGAACCACATGAGCCTTTTTGGCCCCTTTTTATGCATTTTTAATAAAACCATGTGGATGTTTGAGGTGATTTCAAGTGTTAGTTTCAGCCTTCCTTTGTTGGTTTTATCTCCTCACTGTTCATCTGTGTAACTTTATTGTCCTGAGCAGCATCAAGCAAAAAATGTCCACTCCAAAGAGCAAGTAAGTGTGACCACAGGATAATGAAATGCCTGCCTTGATATGCGGCCGGTTCATGCAAGTCAAACCCGACCCAGGAGCTTGCTACATTGCCTGAGAAGATTTTTAAAGGGTTGCCTCCTTTTAGCTCCTACCATTATTCTTGTGCAAGAAGAAAACTCCCTCAGACATTAAAATCAAACAATGTTTAAAGAATGCCAAAGGAATGTGCACTGCTTATTGATTACAATGCCTGATGAAACGCTGCTGTGTTTCCAGTCAGCGGACACACAGCTGCATATTCCCATCCAAACATTTGCATCGGAGTATTTTGACAATCAACTGGACCTTGTGTATTAATGTGTGTTGTATTTGTATGCTTATGAGGACAGAATGCCTTCTAAAAGATAGCGATGTAAGGGGAAAAGAACATGATAAATAATACCTATACATTGAATTATGTAGGTCATAGATAAATGTCCTAAACAATAAACATGATATAGTTACATTGCTGTATACTGTGAAGATCAATTCCAGGTTGCTTTCTAGTAAGGTTCATTTATTTCAGGTTACCAATGTCTGTTGACTTTTTTTTGGCGGCCCCTATGGCCATAAGCATTAATTGTGTGGCCACTTGTGACACTATTGCAAATAGTGCAAATGCAAAGGGTCCAAAGGATATTTTATTACCTAATTGACTTAAGAGACTTTTTTCTAAAATACAAATCCTCTGGAATATTTATTTGAGATAACTTAAATTAAAAGTCTTTTACTTAGTGAAAGGATATATATTTAAGTCGTGTATTTTACATGAAGTCAAAGGTCGCATGAAAAAAAAGCTTTGTGTTATGGCAAGTCAGGCGAACATTGTCTCTCCACTGTCTCTAAAAACCTCAAGGCCCAGGGGCCAAATCCGGCCCGCCACTTCATTTTATGTGGCCCACAAGACCTTGCAAAGAATATAATCAGTTTATCATAAGGTTACCGCCGCTTTACAGGAGCACGTTGCCCATAAACTACATGTCCCACAATGCATCTCATTTTGTGAGATGGCACTGAAGAGACTTGCAATTACTTGCAATTATTTGCCCTAGACTTCTGCTTTCAGACGTAGTTAATTATGAAGTTATTACCCTAGATAATAATCCAATGCAGAGGAAATAATGTAATATAATACATTATTTTATATATATTATATATTTATCTATGTATATTTATATAGTCTTAAAGTTACCACCGGCCCTTTGAGTGCAACCATAATTCTAATGTGGCCCGCGATGACATTTAGTTTGACACCCCTGCCATTTACCGTAAACCTTTTAAAAAGTAAGTCCTGGTTAAAGGTTTTTACAACCGCTAAGAAAGTATAGGAAGGAGTCTCACGTTCAAATAATAGGCCAAATCTCAACAGCAGTCATTTTATCAGTTTCTAATTTATTTCATTCATTAATAGAAGATGTTGTGGTTCCAGAGTAGCCATTTAATGGTGGAAAATGGCTTGCTTATAAATACAGTTTAACGTCAGGTAAGCAGGTTAAAGACATTCAGTCAGTCATTCAAGGTCCTCATAAGTGTAGAGATGCAAATATGTATGTGTGAGTCTGCATGCGTGTGTGTGTGTTTGTAATAACTTCTCCACCTGTCTTCAGACTGGTGCACCAGGACGGCAGCCTGGCGGACATCACCATGCTCAGCGCCAGCTCTGTGGAGGCCACGATATCCACAGAGGAGCCGCAGCAGCAGGAGGACCAGGCGGAGTGGAGGGGGGAGAAGGAGAAGGTCCTGGTGGTGATGGACGACACGGACATGACTGGAGTGAAACCGAGGACTTTCTCCGACAACCGGCAGTCGAGCACAGAGGAGAGCCGGCACTGCAGCGCGGGAACCGAGCCGAGCACCGAGCAGAGCTCAGGTAGAATAGAATAGGATATATATTTATTGTTATCATACAAAGTACAACAACCTTTATTTGGCAACTCTCACTGCAGTAAAAAATAGACACAATAAATATATAAGAGTGGTAAAAGCAGAGCGATGACAGTGCAACGAGATACAATTCAATGTCAAAGTGCAAATTCACACTTCTAAATATATATTAGTGAAGGTGTGTTGTGTTGTGTGTGTGTGTGTGTGTGTGTGTGTGTGTGTGTGTGTGTGTGTGTGTGTGTTGTGTGGTGGTGTGTGTGTGTGTGTGTGTGTGTGTGTGTGTGTGTGATGTGTGTGTGTGTGTGTGTGTGTGTTGTGTTGTGTGTGTGTGTGTGTGTGTGTGTGTTGTGTGGTGTGTGTGTGTGTGTGTGTGTGTGTGATGGTGTGTGGTGTGTGTGTGTGTGTGTGTGTGTGTGTGTGTGTGTGTGTGTGGTGTGTGTGTGTGTGGTGTGTGTGTGTGTGTGTGTGTGTGTGTGTGTGTGTGGTGTGTGTGTGTGTGTGTGTGTGTGTGTGTGTGTGTGTGTGTGTGTGTGTGTGTGTGTGTGTGTGTGTGTGTGGTCCTGAACCGTTTGCCAGATGGAAGTACTCCAGCAACACACCAAAGAACCACGTTAGGACTGATACTGTCTTCTCTTTTATCTTCAGTGTCATTTTAACACTAATTATCATTATAAGAAGAACAAGAGATAAACAATAAATACTCGTTTGGCGGTTACATCTTGAGGAATGTATCCAGTGTTTCTAAAATGTGTTTTCAAGTTCCTCTGAAATATCAAAGCAAATCATATGAAAACTACAATAGCACTTGTAGGGCACAGACCTCCGCCAAGGCCAACGGTGCATTCACATGCTCCTCGGATGGTCCCATTTCCTGAGTTAGGCTGTCGTTTCCCGTGTGTTCACAAACTAATATGGAAAGAACAAGGACATTACAGAGGATGTGTCGTATTTTATTGCTCAGAGCATTCAAACAACACAACACTAAATTGCTGTTCTCTTTGAGGGGGTAGTTAATGTGAATTTCTTAGTCAGGAACTTGTTTTTCAGCAACGGTTTATTCCAACACCATATGAATGCAGGGAAAATGCCGTATCTCATATTGTTAACAAACAAGAAGAAATGTTTTTGTATCCTCTGTGTCATTTGGCTCTGCTCCAAAAGTTAAGGGTTTCTTCCTTGCCCCGTGATACATCCTTCCTTTTATTATCATAAAAAATTGCAGTAGTAGTTTTTCCCATAATCCTGCTGACACACACACGGACAGACGGAAAACACAACTTCCTTGGCGGCGGTCATAAAACTTCTCATCCAGAGGCTGTATCTCTGATCATGTTGCAGTCTTGTATTTAAACCCTTCTCATGTGTTTTACTTCAAAGTGTATGAAAGCTTTCCTCCATGCCTCCTCCTCTCGTTGTGTTTACAGCTGGGACTCACATGTGCTGATATGTAGCGGCGCCGGCTACACTGTCAGGAGCGTAGAGACGTTTTTCTTTTGGATCTGTCTCTGCTCTTCAGTCTGCTCAGAAGACATATGTTGCATACACTCTTTAAAGTCTCTCTTAGACTCAGTGTGCTGTCCAAGTATCCGCCGCCTGCACTCTCCACCAGCCGGCCGTTAGTCATCCCGAGGAAAGCTGTACAAATCTGTTGTTCTGCAGATTTTTGGGTTCAGTAAGATTTACCTCCAGTTTCCCCTGCTGACACAGAGCGTAGCTCAAGTGGTCACTTTCATCCATTACATCGCCCTGCTCGAGCCAACTAGCGCTACACCATTAGCATATTTACGCAGACCGTCACACTGCTCTTAAATTAAAATGTTGTTTATATACACAGAAAATAAAATAGGTGATAAAACACAACCCTGCAGGGCCTCTCTGTTTATAATGAGGTGCAAGCTATGCGAGCTACAGTATATGCCCTCTCAGTGTTTTCTTATCCAAACAATGATGGCTCTATTAAAACCTGAGATAATATATCCTTTGTAGAAACACATAACCAAACTATAGCTGGAGTTTTAATATCCTTTGTGAGAATATTAAGGCTTAATTCTCAGGTAATTAAAGCAACAGTTTAGAAATAGCTTGTAAAACACACATTTGAGGTGTTTCCATACATCGTGACATATGGGGAGAACTTACATAAACAAACATTTGACAGTTTCACAATATATTTGAAACATATGTTTAGCTGTTATGTTTGCTCAATAAAATGTTATACATATCAAAATGTAGCTTTCCCTCACTAAAATGCAGATTGTCTTACACATTGGTTGAATGTTTGTTGGATGGATTTCATTATTTGAACTGGAAATTATTTGTAAGACTGAAACTAAGTATTTCCCTAAATCCCAATGGTATTTTGTTCAGTATAACCGACAATGAAAAATTAGACAAAAGTTAGGGAACTAGAATGACAGATTTTTTTTGCCATTTTGTGTCTGTTGCTGGGCTAATAGATTATACATTTCGACAACCTCTAAATGTTTGCTGAATTTTAACTTATTTTAATGTTTATGAGGTGCAGTTTGTGTTTCAATGGAATTGCTACTCAGCCTTTCTGCAAATACATCAATATACTAATTAAAAATAGGACTGGAAAAGTGCATTCATTAGGGTCCATCTTTACCCAGTGGTTTAATACATTTCTATGGCAGCAAATAAGATATACTAACAAAAATAAAAACATAGTACATCACAAGACCTGTTCCTGAAGTGCAAACAGAGATTCTGCTCCAGCTGGGGTTGCTGTTTTAAAAGCTACGTAAGCAAAATGTCAGTACTGTTCAAACAGAGACAGACTGCACAGCTGTAATTGTCAGGGAATAATTCTGTATACATGTTTACCTTTTGCCCTCTGACGCAGATGCTCCAACGTTGGGCAGCCGCTATCTCCCTTAAGGAGTGGCTGCCCTAGCATTTTGTTGTTGTTACCAGTTTATGACCTGGCAACTTTCGGTCAGAGATAGTTATTGTTGTGGGACACCTGGAACACATCCTTCTCAGGGTGTAGATGACCCCGAGCCATAAGCGACAACACATGTGATTCAGTGTCCTCAGCTGTTTAGTCTATCTATTGAAGAATGTTGATTATTACACTCTGAACTACTTAAAACCTCGAGCTACAGGAGGGGTCTTCAGAATTGATTGTGGCATCTCAACCGTGTGGTCAAACCGTGGCCCGTGACATGTCTTGTGAATTCTCCGGCCGAGGCTCCAAATAAACCGTCAGTGTTTGCCATCAAAGCTCCAGCTCTCCTCGTGTCTCTCTTGAGTCCTGTTTCCAATTGCTTCAGAGGTTTCCCCCGCAGTAATTAAGAGATGAAACCTGGAAACTCTTCACATTTGCACCTACTCAGTCACTCTCCTCTCTTTCAGATCTGAAGAATAAATGGCACCAGGTGGTCGACCGGCTGACGGTGCTCTTCCTGAAGTTCCTGGAGTATTTCCACAAACTGCAGCTGTTCATCTGGTGGTTACTGGAGATCCACATCATCAAGATCGTGTCCTGCTACATCGTGCTGATCGCCGTCAAAGATGTAAGAAAGCTTGACATTACACTTTAAAACAAGGCTCTATATCTAAGCTATAAAGCAGAGGTGTTATACGCCCAATACGAGCCAATTTGCAGCCTCAGATTCTCGGATTTGGGGGCTTTCTAGCTGTTAAAAAGCTGAGGTTAACAAGGTGACAGTGCCTTTGACATTTGGGCCCTTTGAAATGTTTCTCTCGTTAAAATTGTGCCACATGCTACACTGCCATTTTTCACGTTACACAACAGCGGTTTCCTGAGGCTATTTCTATTTGTTTGTAAGTAAATCACTGCTGTCACAATCTTCTCTAACTAAGTTAATTTAATACAGTTCTGAGTCTAAAAGCTATTACATTTCCAATCACAAATACCCACTGTTAGCATTGCTCACTTTTCCTTGGTAGATGTTATTGCTCATATGCTGTAAAAAAATAGCAACACAGAGCCAACTGGAACCAATAGGGAATACACCAGGATTGGTTAAAGAGTTACACCGCAGATTTCTTGCCATCAACTCTCTCTGAATGAAGCCTTAAGCTTGGATAAGCTGCTTGGGCTTTTACATTCTCATTAAAAACTGACTTTTATAGACTTATATTTATGTATTGTAATGATATTTTATTCATAGTTCCTGACCTCAATTTTTACGAGTGCATTTGGATTTTCCTCTCAATTTTCTTCACTTCTTTTTTGCGTAAAGGGTTGTGTAAGTGTATTCAAGCACTTCTTACTCACAGTAATTATGAATCACATACATATAATACATGAAACAACTCAATAAATACTAACACTAGTTGGTGTAGGAATGGAAAGAAAAGGAGAAAATGTAATTGGAGGCGTGTGGTGCAGTGGGTTGTGCGTTTGGTGTTCGGATCAGGGGGTCACAGGTTCAAACCCCACTGCAGTCAGCATGTCGTTGTGTCCCTGAGACACTTCACCCCAAATTGCTCCTGTGGGGATTGTATTCAGTATGTAAGTCGCTTTGGATAAAAGCGTCTAACAAGTGACATGTAATGTAATGTAATTAGAAAAGGATTTATTCGTTTTTTCCTGTCCTCATTGCATGCATTGTCTCTTTTTCAGGTTTCTTTGTTCAACTACGTGTTCGTGGCGTCCTGGGCCTTCGCGCTGCCGTACTGCCAGTACCGGCCGCTCGCCTCCAGCGTTTGCACGGTCTGGACGTGTGTCATCATCGTGTGTAAAATGTTGTACCAGCTCCAATTCGTAGCACCCAAAAACAACACCATGAACTGTTCGATGGTGATTCATATTTACACAACATAGATGTTATCCTTACAAGGGCTGTACTGAATGTCTAATTTTATTCACATTTGAGGCTTTGAATCTTTTCCTAGATTTCAGGACACCCTAAAAAATGTAAAAAACGTGAAACAAAATGTACAATTTCAATAAAGTAATTAATCAAGTTATTATTATTTTTTAATCATCTTTTTTATTCAATTTAACTTTTGTATAATCGTACGTGCCTCGTTTTGAAAATAAGTGTATTAAAAAGGTATCATTTGTTATATAAAAAACATTTTGTGATCTGTGTTTAACAAATGTTGACTTAAAAAAAATATAGACAACACTCAATGATTGAATTCACGACTGTAACAAATCCATACAAATATTTTAACACTAGTTATATTATTATATCCAAGCTTTAATTGAAACTGTGCAGAAATGCCAGGTTTAAACAAAAGTAATTGACATGCCAGAGAATTTTAATGTAAATGTTGGTGTAGAATCTGAAAGTAATTATTGCTGCTTCAAATTATTCAGTACAGCCCTTATCCTGACTATCCTTACACTTTTACTTCATATATACAATGATATGTTCTGTCCACAGCCAGAAGACTACTCAGATGTCCAGACGAAAGACATGGAGAAGTCTCTGCTGTATAAGGGTCAGTTTTATGCAGCCAACTGGGTCGGCCTGGAGAAATCTGACGACCTGCTGGGCTACCTCAGGGTGAGGAGCACAAACAGCAAACACTACAAAAAAAAATAAAAACATTTAAGAAATGTAACCATATTTCCGTTACTTTTGGATTACCTCAATATCAAATGCAATGCAAACAGAGACAAAATAAAATAACTATCAATAAGAATGTATTTTTCACATTAGAACAACACATTTAAAGATATTCTCTCCATCTGTGCAGAACAACCTCATGATGCTAGCTCTGTTAGCGTTCGAGGTGACCATCTACCGCCATCAGGGATATTTCAGACTGAGGAACAAACTGTCGCCTCCCGCCGCCCGGATCATCTTCCATGATATCACACGGCAACACCTGGACATCGGCATCATCTGCTTCATCAAATACTTCATCAACTACTTCTTCTACAAGTTTGGACTTGAGGTAAATACAAATGAAAAGAGCTTGACGAGGCCCTATTTTCCTTTTTGGGGTTTTCCCTCTTCTGTAGTGTGTTATATAGGTTTGTGTGCATGTAAATGGTCTGCAAAGGCAAAAATGTTCCCAAAGTGTTTCTCTCCCAATCTGCCTCAATTGGATTCCTTTGTTACATCACTAAGTAACACTCCCGCTTTCATTGGCTAGCGCTCCAACACATTGTACGTGATAGGCTAAGGGTCGGGACAGTTGTAAGCGGTTGACCAATCACAACAGAGCCGGCTAGCTAACCAATCAGAGCAGACTGGGCTCTGGTTTCAGACAGAGGGTGGAAAGAGAGAAGCACAAAATACAAATTTGGACCTGAATATTTGCATAATATATCCTCTTTTTGAAAACAACACTTAATGTTTGTATTCCTTGTGTGTTTGCCTCAGACGTGCCTGCTGCTCGTGGTCAATGTCATCGGGCAGCGGATGGACTTCTACGCCATGATTCACGCCTTCGCCCTGATTGCTGTCATGTACAGACGCAGGAGGAAAGCCATCGCTGAGATCTGGCCCAAATACTGCTTCTTCCTCGCCGTCATGCTGACCTTCCAGTACTTCATCTGCATCGGGATCCCGCCAGCAGCCTGCAAAGGTTTGTCTGAACAACAAGGCCAGAGTGTACTTATTGCTTGGATATCAGGACACAATCAAAGACTATTGTCCCTATCAATCAACTGAGCATTTTACAGTCAATGGGGTCATTATTTAGTGTATAAAATGCTAAATGCTCCTCTGCATTTGTGAAGTGTCATCTGTTGTTTCAATGTCAAAGCTTTAATTGTCACAAATGCCATTCTTTTAAAGTGATCCACAATCATAATTCATATATGTCCGATGATAAGGTATGTTTTTATTTCAGACTATCCCTGGAGGTTTCCCAACTCTACGACTGACTCCAATGTGGTCAAGTGGCTCTATGTTCCAGATTTCCGCACCCCGCCTAATCCATCGTTCCTCATCTGTAGGTTTTTCACTTATAGATGTGTAGTGGTTATTGCGAATGTGTATAAGGGCCATTGTAGGTTAAATAAATTATTACAAATTGGGTAATATTCAGAGAAAATAACTCGAATGAATGCTTTGAATTTAGGAGGAAAAACACCTTTTTGTCAAGGTACCACATCGCTTAACATTACAAGGTGTGATAACCCTCATAACACCACGGACGCCGTTATATAACCAGGTTCCATACTGTTGCACCTCCTCACTAAAATGTAAATGTATCAGGGGCTTCTGTGGTGTGATGTTGATCCAAGTCAGCAAAGTGATGCCATGTGGTTGCTAAAAAACACAAGTTTCTTTTGCCTACATTTGTTAATCTCAGAGATTTGTGGGTGGGTCTCTTCAATCACAGAAATTCTGAAGAAACTCTGTAGTAATTAATTTTGTAAACCTTCTATCCTCATCGCAGGTAATAATACCAATTGTCATTAAAGGTCACCTATTATGCAAAATCCACTTTTTCATGGCGTGGGGAGTGGCTCCTTATTTTCATCTAAAGTAACAGACAGAGAATCAGCACTTTTGAAACAGGGCTGAAACAGAGGGGATTATGGGATGCTGCAATGATCTGTTTGGTGTTTCAAGTCAAACACTTCAGAGACATGTTTGTATATATCTGAGACCTATAATATATTGATGAAAAACAGTATAATAGGGGACCTTTAAAGTTTCTTGTATTATTACGACCAAGATTTTCCCCACAAGTGAAATGTCTCTTCTCTTCTTCTCCAGATGACTTCATGCTGCTGCTGTGTGCCTCCCTCCAGAGGCAGGTCTTTGAGGATGAGAACAAGGCGGCGGTCCGCATCATGGCTGGAGACAACGTGGAGATCTGCAGAGATCTGGACGCCGCCTCCTTCAGCGTCTACAACCCCGTCCCCGACTTCATCCACTGCAGGTACAGATAGGGTGACCAGTTGTCCCGCTTTGTGTGGGACTGCACAGCATTTTTGTAATTTGTCTCACACATTTTGCCAATGTCCCGCATTTGATTGCCCGTATAAAACTTGGCTTTTATCCAAAGGTGTTGAGAAAACAAGAGAGGGCTATCACTATTAGCTGTGTCAGATGTCAATCAATCGACAGAAAACATTTATTTACTTATGGGTGTAGCCGGTGGAGGGAGATTCCCAGACACAAAAACACGAGAATATTTATTGATGATAATAATGTTGAAAAATAATTCCATTCAAAATTGATATTTTTAATTACTTCACTTGCATAGTTTGTGCAAACAATTAAACCATATATAAAGCGTTGTAAATAATATTTAGAAGCTAATAGTTTCTAAAGACATTTTTATTTTTAAGGGTTGGATAGACATTATATTTAATTGTAAACTAGCTCTTAGCAAAGCAGTAACATGTCCCGCATTGTCCGCACAAATGTAATTTTGTCCCACATTTGGCTTGATCACCCTAGGTACAGAAACGTACATCAATGTTTAGCTACATTTACTGCAGCAGGAAGTGGAGCAAGTATGTTTCCGTTTTATTGCTATCAGAGCTACTTTGGTAAAGTTTATGGCACTTGATCCGAGACTTTTATTTCACTTATATTAGATTTTACAGTACCAGTAAACATTTTATAGTTTGAATGCCATTTGAGCCCGGCATCACCAAGAGGGACAAGATGCATAAATGGAGAGGAAGTGAAGTAGCCAGTTAAATTGATGCTTAATGATGTTAGATGCTTACAATTTTGTCAAAAGGGACATTTGTTCAAAACAAGCAGCACTATTAAGAAGGTTTTGTATTTGTATAATATATGGGTTACATCCCACTGTATGGATGTGAATGCTTGTTATTTGTTCCTACCAATGCAGAGATGTCTATTTAGGTCTATGGTTTACTAGATTATACACTGGTACAAAATGTATTATTTGGTAGATTAAAGAGGTGGCTGTTTTTATTCAAAAAATGTAAAACCCACTGTACCGAACCTGCTCTTCACCAAACAGCAGACAGACACAGTTAGCGAATAGCGGGTGAAAATAGTGGAACATTTGGCAGCTAATGTGCCAGATATTTCCTCCAGGAGTTGGTAGGGACCAGACAAAATCGCTAAAACAGAGTAAATACTGGATTTCATCATGTGAATACAAGCATGAATGCAAATCAATAATACAATTTCTCCAAAACGACTGAATGTGTAAGTAAACATCTGTTTTCTAACCCTATCATAGCTTAAAAATGTTAATGTCTATGGTTCATGACTTGTTTCTTCTGCCCCAAGAAAGAAAAAAAAGAGAAATACTTATTGCAAACCAGGATGTGACTGACGTAAATGATCAATTAGTGCTTTGAGTTGAGTGATGGGGTGAAAGGCAGTGAAGCAGGCTGCAGGTTTGATTTCCCTCTCTGGTCGGGTACATTTAGAAAAGTATAAAGAAAGGCATCATACTCCTCCAAACCGAGTTTATTAAGACTGCTCTCCAGTGGAGCTGCTCCGATGCTAACTCAGGAGAACACTGCTGTTATACTTGGCTGCTTTCTGCATTACTGTACCAATCCTAAGTGGAGTGGTGCTGAATAAGAACATACTCTCTCAGCAAAGCCTTTATCCTAGACAAATATAGGGGAGACAGATGACCGTAGCTTAGTGAGAGACCCATTGTATATACAGAAGTCTGGCTGTTGTCCGATATTTGAGTTCAGAGCCGGATACTGACTTTTCACCTGAAAAGAGCGAAGAGAGATTTCTTTGAGAGGCAGGGAAATAGGGAGCGAGTCAGAAAGACAGCGAGAGCATCCTGACCTGTCCACAGTCATTGATTATGTGCTCTTCACATTCCACTGTTTTGATGCGCAAAGTGGACAAGTCTTTTATTAACGCACTCTGTGTCCATCAACAAGCCCCTAGTAGAGAGAAGAGAGCAGTACAGCCCGTCTGTCCGCGCCGCAGCAGCTCTGCACTTATTCCATCGTTTCCCTCCAGGATCCAATTACGGATACGGGGTGGGGGGAGAAATCCATAATCCACAAAAACACTCTGTCCGTCACTCCGCGACTCAGGCGCTTTTGTCCTGTACTCTAACTCAATAAATAGCTTTTAAGTATGGAAAAGGTATTTTCTCCCCCTGATGAAGAAGGACACTCACTCAGCGATTCCGGCCCATCAACGCATCGTCCGATCCAAACCCACTTCATCACAGCTGCTTCCTCAACAGTGCAGCTGCTGTTGTGGTCCCATGTTTTCCCCAGGTCAATCCAATTAATGCAAGTTGCTTCCTATGTATCCTCTCCACACATCATATTGATGGTCTCTCACCTGAAAACATAGGGTACTCATATGCTTTTAGCATGTTACCCACACGCGCAGAAGTGACCATTATGAACCTGCGCTGAGTGACAGGAGTCTGGTTTCACGATCATTGATCAGACTCTTACCGGAGTCCTGACCCTAAGCAGTACACTAAGTGTGATTGATGGGAGGATTATGCTCACAGCAACACAATGAACTGGAATACTGTTTTAAATTGTATGATGTGGTATTAGCAATTTAGCTCAGCTGGCCAAGGTCCATGTTGTTTATTTTTAACCCCGTGTAAAATTCAGCTCATAAACTTTGGTCAATCTCAAGTTAATTGAATTCAACATTAAACAATAAAGTCACAATAATAGGGCGGAACAATTACTTAGAATTTGACCGAAAACGCAAATAAAGTTGCATAAGATTAAAAAAGTGATGTAACATCCAATATAAACGGCACAAATGCAGCGAAATTAAAGTAGCTGAATAGTAAACACAGTCCATTTATTGCCTCTTAAAATGCTGCAATAATAAAAATCTAATTTAGGCTATGATTCCATGTATCAGGTGTGACTGCAGCATTGAATTTTGGGTAGCTGTTTTGGAATAATGTGTTTCCTAATGTTGATATGGCATGAATGCAGCCAGCTAGTTACGTCTCGTTCACTTAAGCCAGATCACTTCTAGGAATAAGAGTAATAAAACAAACAATGACATTTCTCTGACATTTAGACCTGGCAACGTATCTGAAAAATAATCTATATATTGAATCGGTCATCATTTTGTTGAAACAGTGCTGACATATTCGTTTTTCCACTGTCCTCTAGGTCGTACCTGGACATGCTGAAGGTCATCATGTTCAGCTACCTGTTCTGGTTCGTGCTCACCATCATCTTCATCACGGGGACGACGCGCATCAGTGTCTTCTGCATGGGCTACCTGGTCGCCTGCTTCTACTTCCTGCTCTTTGGTGGAGAGCTGCTGCTCAAACCAATCAAAAAGATCCTCCACTACTGGGACTTCCTGATTGCCTACAACATCTTTGTCATCACCATGAAGAACATTTTGTCTGTGAGTAGACCATCAAGAGATATCAGGAACATTTAAATTATTGCAGGAACGTAATCAAAATAACTATATCATTTTCTAACCAGGCATTGAAACAAACCAACAAAAACAGAAACACAAGTATAACTATAGAAACATCGGTGCAGTTAAGTTCCAGTTTAAACACAATTGAGGTTTTTCATCCCTTATGTCTCATTGGTAGAGCTGTAACTAATTTGCAGACCAGTCACACAAAATTGTTATGGACATACATAAAGTTGAACATTTGGTTTAAAATGAACGATTCTTGGCAATTTACATCAAGACATATTCTTTCAAGAGAGAATCTTCCACCTCTTCACATCATATATTCAAATCCTACATACCGTTCATATGAGGTGATATAATATTATGATTTTAAAACGTCCTATTTCATGAATTTAGAAGAAAATCACCTTAGTTTAAACTTCTTCTCAGTATTTTAAGATAGAGAGTTCACATCAACACTGCCTGTTTGTGATATCAGAAATGATACTTATAAGATATGAAGATGTAATAGATAATGTATTGCATTCAGGTTTATAATGAAGGGTTTTTGTTCGTAGATCCTGGCTTGTGGCTACATCAACTCTCTGATTAAGGACCGCTGCTGGTTGATCCAGTTGTTCAGTCTGGCCTGCACCATCAAGGAATACGACATCAACATCGTCGATGCAAAGAGTGAGTGGACACAACAGCTTACTTAATTTTACATCGCCAAAACACTGTACAAGAAGGTGATAATATTCCCTTCAATAGGTGGTAACACAGATTGTTTCCCAAAAAGCTCAAATTAAACCACACCCTTGTTTATTTATCAGTCCTTTCTTTCAGGGCCATTTTAGTTCAATGCATCTTTGTGTTAACTCATTTTACAGTAAATACACAACAAAGCCACAATACTCAGTAAAACAGATTCATCAACGATCAGAAAATAAGGGTCTACATCAGGGGTGTCAAACTCAAATACACAGTGGGCCAAAATAAAAAAATGGGTACTAGACGAGGGCCGGACTAGTTCAATGTTTATTGCAGAACTTATTGAAATGAACTTATTGCACATATTAAACCTGGAACTAACAAAGCTTAAATGATTGCCTATAAAAACAACATTAAACATTAAATAATCAGTTGCATTCATTTCTTATGGCTCTGTCTGCAGCTTTTCCTCAGTCATTTCTTATGATTACATTTTTCCACAGGCCAACAACAGCTTCAAAAAAACTATTCCCCTCAAAGAACAAACCAAACCTGTCCTGTTGTCTCAAGAAACAAAGTGCAGAAGGAAACATCCATTGAAACTCAGTTTGCTCTGTGATGCTAGTTGAAGCCAGATACTTGGCATCTCATCTCGGGTGCAAGTTCATCAATGTTTGGGCTCAGGCTCTGAGCTGAGGAAGGTGTGCGTGCAATATACCGGCGGGCCAGATCTAATAATAATTAGACATTATCCTGCGGGCCGAAATTAAATCCACCACGGGCCTGATTTGACCCCCGGGCCTTGAGTTTGACATATGTGCACTACAGTACATCAACACCCTTGAGAATTTAAACTCATATTATGATTGAAAGGGCTGTAAGAACATTTTTATGTTTAAGAAAATGTATAAAGAAAGCATAATTAGACAGTATGAAGTTTACTTTTGATTGTGTTTCAGTATTTGTAAGCGACTGTGACTGAAAGAATATTGCTTTTATTTGACTTTTTTATGGTTATTTCTTTTTTTTTCTGTTCTTTTTTTTAAGAAGGGACAGGTAAAAGAACATTTTCTTCTCCCTTCTCCTTTCCACCATGCGCTATAAAAAATACACAGTATAAGTGTACATGTTTTGTTTTAAAATAACTGCCATGTGTGGAATAAACTAATAAAGACATATTTTCACCATGTAATCATCAGAGATTTATTGTGAGCTGCCCAGCAACGAGGCGGGGATCATCTGGGACAGCATCTGCTTCGCCTTCCTGCTGCTGCAGAGACGAGTCTTCATGAGCTACTACTTCCTGCACGTGGTGGCCGACATCAGGGCGTCGCAGATCCTCGCGTGCAGGTACAGAGATCAGGCTGAACCATCCCCATGCAAAAAGACACTCTGACTGCAAAGGCATTGTTTTGAAATCATGAAGACACAAGCGCCTGAAAGGTTTTGTGAAAGGCAGTCCTAAAAACAAACTCAATCTGCATCCTTATTTGATTTCCTTCTAGTGAATGTCTGACTTTAAATAATGCATGGGAAAAGACACGCATGTTTAAAGGTCACCTATTATGCAAAATCCACTTTTTCATGTCTCTTCTACATCAACATGAGTCCCCTCTGTGTAAAGTGATTCTGAACGTTTCAGGAAAAAAGATTCTCTCTCTTTTTGTCCTGATCCATTTATATGTCCAGTATTGAGTATGTAAGTCGCTTTGGATAAAAGCGTCTAACAAGTAACATGTAATGTAATGTCATGTAATGTAATATAAAAACCTGTCTGAAAATGAGCTGAACAGATTTTGGCCACTTTATGATGTCATAACGATTGTTTGGCTTGTGTAACTATTAGCCAATCACCAACCAAGTGCTCCTCCTACAGGATTCCCGCGGGGTCTTAAAAAGTCTTACATTTGATAATCTGAATTTAAGGCCTTAAAAAGGTCTTAAATATGATAAAAAAAAATAAGAAAGGTCTTAAATATGATTTAGAAGGTCTTAAAAATGATCGGATTTGAAAGGTACTTCTGTGTTGCGATCGCGTCTAAATGTGTTTTGGGGGAAATGTCCGGGCTGCAAAGTAACCAGTACGGTAAGAGCCTTTCAGTTCCCCCCAACAATTTGTATTGAAATAAATCAACATGGAACCAGTAATCACTAACTTTGTTTCCCCCGGCCCCTTATCGGAGAACACCCAGCTAGTAACCTAGCAACCAAGCTTCAGCTAGCGGCAGTCAGAAATTAGGTATCTTCGAATCTACTTACAATTAAATATGGTGAAGTGTAAGTTCAACTGTATTTGGTTGGAAAACATCGAATGTAGTGCTTGGTTGAAACCAGTGGAGGGGAATGTGTTTGAAGCCCGCTGCACCTTTTGCAAACAAAATTAGCGTTTGTTTTGCTAATGTAGCGTTAGCTAGTGTAGCGTTAGCTAGTGCAGCTACTCCCGCAACAACACCGGGGGACCTCTGGGTGACGTTTGAGTATACGTCAACACACACACACACACACACACACACACACTTTTTGTCTAACACACTAACACAGTTCAGTGTGCTGTTATGTTCAGTCTTCGTTCTTATGTTGAACATGAATACATTTACTTTGTAAGTAATTATGGGACGAATTTCTTCTTTCCTAGCAATTTTCCTTCATACTTTCTTGCCGTGAAATAGGTCTTAAATTCTATTCAAAGTGGTCTTAAAAAGGTCTTAAAAAGTCTTAAATTTGAGTTGGTGAAACCTGCAGGAACCCTGTCCTAGAGCACCATTGTGTTCTTTTTAACCAAATATCTCTCAGAGGGGCGTGGGGAGTGGCTCCTTATTTTCATCTAAAGTAACAGACAGAGAATCAGCACTTTTGAAACAGGGCTGAAACAGAGGGGATTATGGGATGCTGCAATGCATGATCTGTTTGGTTTTTCGAGCCAAACACTTCAGAGACATGCTTGTATATATCTGAGACCTATAATATATTGATAAAAAACAGTATAATAGGGGACCTTTAAGGCTTAGGGCTTGACATGTTTATCCAGACAACAAGTAAAGATGGACAGAGTTTTGACTGAGAAGAAAAGAGTGTGTGTGGTTGTATCAAGAAATAGGACAAATTCAGTTTAATGTCAGTATAGTCAGAAGATATACTAGCCTTTTCTTATTTGCACAATAGAAACTAATGAGGGACATGCAGGAGAAAGAAAGGTGCCGTTCTTGTATTAAAATGTAACTTGGCTCCTTGTATGACTGTCTTCCACAGTACAGCTTCTTCTTCTTCTTCTTTTTATTGGTTAGTAAATAGTAAAGAAGGATCAAACGGAGACTCTCTGTGACAGCGGATGTTTTGAACGTTCGATTGTGTTTCAGAGGGGCGGAGCTCTTCCAAGCTACGATCGTGAAGGCGGTGAGAGCCCGACTGGAGGAGGAGCGCAAATCTGTGGAGCAGTTGAAGAGACAGTGAGACTCCAAATAATTCACTTATTCACAATTTCACTTATTGTAATATGTTTGTATCTTTCACTTGATAAGACATTGATTCACCTTTACACATTTACATTTACATAACTTCTTGAATACCAAAATCCACATTGTGTTAGCCTCTCTCTTTTGGTGCTTTTAAACTTTTTTAACAAAAGTGTTGCTTATAGCGTATTTGTAAGGAACTACTTTTAGCAGTTTTAACAAAAATCAAGCTTTGGTGCACAGGCGCTTCTTAGGCACGGTAACATCTAGTTCCCGACTTTGAATATCTTTGATGAGTCTCAATTTATCCCATAAGTAAGTAGACATGATTCAGAAAGCCATTTAAAATCGGCTCTGTATTAAAAGCAACTCCTGGCTCGCTCATTACTGTTTCCAGGAAGCCATCGCTCAGTATATCATACAACTTAAAGTCAATGTATTTCCACCACTTACACTTACCTCAGGATTTACTCATAAGCCCTGATAACATCCACTCACCCGCTCTAATGAGCACTCCACTGTTTCATAACGTACACTCATTTCCATACACGAAGCCCAGAGATGTTTACGGTCAGTCTGTTAGCTGTGGGTGATGTTCCTCTGTGTCGATACTTCGTGTCTCTTCACTGCCTCTCTGATCTAATCAGGATGGAGCGCATTAAGGTGAGGCAGCAAAAGTTTAAGAGGGGCAAGGAGAGGATGCTGAGCATGGCGCAGGAGTCCGGAGAAGGACAGACCCTCTTCCAGCCCGAGGAGGAGGAAGATGACGGTATGACGAAGGTTGCCGAGCGTCTCTGTGCAGGCAGTGTTAGCAGAATGTGTTGAGGCAGTGGTGGAAGAAGTTCCAGATACTTTACTACAGGAAAAGTAGAAATACCATGGTCTAGAAGTACATTTTTTAATTCATGAATGAAATGATATAATATCAAAAGTAAAATTGGACATCATACAAAGTGGCTTCTTTCACTGGTTTGTATTTAATATAATAATAATACTATATTATTGTGTTTTTATCACATACATTGTAATCATATACTTTGTTTGGATACCTTTAGATACTTACTACTACTGGGTAGTTTAGTCATTCAAAACAACATCATAATATATATTGTATACAGTTTATAGACAATTTTATCATTTGATTTGAGTGTAAACAACAACTAGTAACTATAAGTCAAGTCAATTAAGTGGAATACAAAGCATGATTATTTTTTAATTACATTAAGTGCAATATAAGTATAAATTAAATGTTAAAAGCCAATTTTAGATACTTCAGTATAAGTAGCAAAAAACGTTATCAAGAATATGTCAAATATATACATCCAATTAACGTGCTTTTATAATAAATATTCAGTGTCAAATGAATGTAGTGAAATTAAAAGCATGCGAATGTTCATTAAAACTATAGTTAAATAGAAGAGTAAAGACTCATAAGATTTTTACACTCAATTACAGTTAAAGGTGGGGTAGGTAATTCACTTCAGAAACACTTTTTGTTATATTCCATGGAATGCTCTTAACATCCCGATAGCAATGAATATCTTAAGTGCTTTGACAAAAAATCCATACAAATATATCATCTGTGGAAGCCGTAGTACTGTAAAAAGCACGACCAATCATTTTAGCCGGCCCGGCTAAAATAACTGGATGGCCTACCTGCCTGTCAGCCTTCCATCTCGTGCACAAACTTTTCTCGTGCCCTGATTGGTCATGTGCGCGTTCGTGTGTGTTGGAGGAGGGGCTCTGTAAGGAAGTCTGAAGGAAGTGGCAGATTTTTTTCGGCTGTGTACTTTCAAATTCTAGCGCACTCGAGCTGGTTTCTCCATTCTTACCTACCCTACCTTTAATAGTAATTATATGTGTTAAATACATTTTGTGAAGTAAAGAGTACAATATTATTTCTGAAATGTAGTGAAATAGAAGTATAAACAAAATTGAAATACTCAAGTACAAGTATGTCAAAGATTGTCCCTATGTACATAATTTAAGTACATACTTAATTATATTCCACCACTGTGTTATTTCTTTTTTTACAAGTCATCAAGACAGATCTCATTAATGCCTGAATTCATTCATATATGTTGTGTTTGCATTAGTATTTGATATTAAAAAAGAACAGAGCAGCTTAATGCAGAACAAAGAAATGCCTTGAAGTTTGCACAAGAATGAATTTTCTTATAAAATGTTGTATTGATGTATTTGTGAAATTTTAGGAGCACAGCGAGCGAAAGCCAAGACCAAAAAAAAGCAGTGGTGGAGGCCGTGGGTTGACCATGCTTCCAGTAGGTTGACCCCCAACCCTCTTTTTTCTCTTCCTCCACTCTGATTGGCCCTTGTGTCCTTGACCAGAACGCTGAGGATTCCCATACTGCCCCGGGGCCCTGAAGGCACCATCAGACGCAGAATTTAGTCCTTTTCTGTCTCTATTTAAGGGCCCTTTTTCAACTAGATCATATTATATTTGAATAGAGAGCATCACTGGGGATACGCATACATCCAATAATAATAATAATAATCTTTATTTGTATAGCACCTTTCATACAACAAGTGCAGTCCAAAGCGCTTCACATAGACATTTCACAGAATAAAGTTACCAGTAAAAGACATCAAAACAAACTAATGCATAGAGTAGACACATCAAAAATACATTTAGATTAAAGGTACAACGTGCATTAAAAGGAGGATAGTGCAACTTCAACACACAATAGCTCATAGACATTATTTTTACTGTACAAAACAAATATTTAAAATAAAAAAACTATTAAAAATAGACATAATTAACAGCTGATGCTACATTTAAAGATGAACTTAAAAGCTTATATTAAAACATCTTAAAGAAAAGGGGTATTAAACTGTGCCCTGTGGGACTCCGGTTTAAGTTGTCTTAGCGCTTCCTATAATGCATTATTTACCTACTTATAAAACCTTATAATCTGCTAATAGCATTGTATAAGCACTCGTAAATCTTTACTATGCTTTATGCAACAATAATCATACCACGTTGTAAAGCTTTTTTAATTACTTATAAGGGTACCATACTTGTTTATAATTTCTTTTTTTTTTATTTGGCAAGGCTCATAGTGTATTATAATTCCAATAGTTGTAATACATTTGAATCTTTAGCATGCAGTTAAATCATATAACTCATTATAAGTATGTTTACAATGCATTATATAAAAGGGCTTACAAAACGTCAGGGCTATAATGTTAGTAAGACTGATTAACTCAGATCCTTAAAAAAATAATTGAATTAATTTGATTAAAATAAGGCTTTATTGGTTATTAAAATGTCCTGAATCCACTTTTTGAAAGTCTTTAAAAAAAATCAAAGGTTGCATCGTTAAACATGAAACCATAACATAACATTTTTGGTCTTAGATTTCATCCCGTAGCATTAAGTCTTAAATCTAACTAGCCTTAAGCTATAGGAACCCTTTCCTCACGTTGTTTTATTTTGGGAGGGAAATTATAATTATAATGCATTATATAAAAGGGCTTACAAAACGTCAGGGCTATAGGTCTAATGTTAGTGAGACTGATTAACTCAGATCCTTAAAAAAGTCTTTAAATAATTGAATTAATTTGATTAAAATAAGGCTTTTTGTTATTAAAATGTCCTGAATCCACTTTTTGAAAGTCTTAAAAATCAAAGGTTGCATTGTTAAACATGAAACCATAACATAAAATGTTTTGGTCTTAGATTTCATCCCGTAGCTATACTGTAGGAACCCTTTCCTCACGTTGTTTTATTTTGGGAGGGAAATTGAATTACTACCGGTTACTTCCTGTACACTACATGTGAAGAGGCACTTTGGATTTGAGACCATATATAAAACCGAGTGTCAGTAGCAGGGTTGCCTTAAATAGACACGATGAAGAAAGAGAAAAAGACTAATGTCTGGAGGTCTGTGCTTGAGATTGTTTGAAACATCATCATCGCTCTCACCTACAAAGCCCACAGTAGGGAATCTCTCTGTTGTAAAACATTTTCACGCAAAGATATGAAGTCGACTCGCCTTTATTCGTCAGTACTGGAATAAAGAATGAAGGGTTTGTTCATTCTTTGCCTGTAGACATGATCACCAAACAGGCGGAAATTAAACAGCAAAACTAGTGATTGAATATTAAATTAAATCTTTTTGTGGTCAATCAAAAATGTTCCTGAATCAGAACAGAGGTCGCCTGTTTGGTTTGAACTCATGTCTCAGTTTGTGCTCCACCCCCACAAGACATTTTCAATTATTTCTCTATTTTTATCTCTTTGTCATTTGATGTTTCATATCCCAGCATCCTCCTTTTACCTCCCGCACCAACGCGGTTCTGCTCAAGGACACAAGTCAGCCTTGTCTATCCTATTGCTTCTAACACTGACCGGAGTCACTTGCTCTGTCGAGTAGCTTAAAGGCTTACATGTGGAATAAAAGAGTCTCGAACAGACACCCTTCATTGTGCTTTCTGCTCATAGTTATATCAGTCATATTAACATTGTCTGCATTTTCTGTTTCATCCTGTCATGTCTTTGATGTTTTTAAATGTGTGTCTATATCAGTGCTTACTGTAGTTAAAGTGGACCTATCATGCTATATTTGAATAATAGTGTAGGACCATACCTATATAAGGCATATTTATACTTTTTTTTTTTCAAAATACCAAACAGATCATGCATTTTAGCCATGCCTCATTTTGCTCAATTTGACATTTTTTAGCTCTGTTTTTGCAAGGGCTGATTCTGTGAGAACAGCACCACCTACAGGCCTGGCATATGTACTACAGCGTCTCCAGCGCTTTCGAACGGCAATGGCCGTGGCTGTCTCCTCCTGATTGGTGGAGTTGGCCCAATAGCCGTAGCGCCACTTTCCTGACGTCAGGACAGTGTTCAAATCTGGATCAGTTTTTATCAGATCCGTTGCAGCCCCTTTTTTAGAGATTTGGGTATGGAGGAAAATAGAGAGGGTTGTGTTTTCTGACACTTGGTGAGTTCCCTGGAACACCGGGGACACATATTCATGTATACAAGACGTACAAAAGTGCATTTTGCATGATAGGTCCCCTTTAATGTTTAATATGTAGTAAATGACATTGAATTAACGGTAAGTGGTTTAAGTTCTTCCTTTCAGTAAGGGAACTTTTTGTTGTGAAAAAGCGATGAATGATTGTGTGTAACTGCATTTGCACTCTGCCTCTTCAGTGGTTAGAAGTGGAGACTATTACTTGTTTGAAACTGACAGTGAAGAGGAAGAGGAGGAGGAGGACAAAACGGAGGACGATGAGCCAAAGAAGTCTGCGTTTCAGGTGACTTCTAGAAGTGGTTCATTTCTTACGTTAGTGTCAGTTGATGGGGAGGAACTGGCTAGCATCAGAGCCAGATTTACATATGAAGCCCAAAGAGCGATAGCTTAAATACAGTTTCAATCTGAAGGGAAGCTGAGCTGGTCGCTGCCTCAAAATGTGGCTATTTTTAATATAAAAAATGATTATAATCTTACAAAGATGGCTTGTGTAGCACAGATTGGTGGAAAGATCTTACATCAAATATTTATTTCATTGTATTTTCTTTCTTTTTTATTATAGCATAGTATGAAAGTCCTCCCCTTACCTCACGTCACTGGTGTGAAACAAGATTTGAATTCTGTTTCTGTTAATTCATCGATTGATTACATGTTTTTAATATTGATGAAGATGCTATGAGGTAAAGCTTAACAAAGTCAAGTACTGTTGCATTTTAATAAATAAATGTCCTTTATTACATTCACTTTAGAATATAACAAAAGTAATCAGAACCTTTACTTAAGTAACAGTAAGTATAACATACAAATATCATCATTTGAGTTACTTGCAGTTATTGTTATATTGACATGTTAAAGTGTGACCAACATTACCAACTACTCTCGCTGTTGCAAGTGGAGGTACTTTTTTTAATATAGTTCTTCAATCTGAAAAGTATCTTGTACAATATTTCCCTCTGAAATGTAGTGTAAAAGAATAAAGTACATTACTTTCCACCCCTGATTTTACTAGATTGATATGCTAGACAATTCATACATTTCTAGAATAGCATGCATTGCTTGCACAGTTTAATAATACTTTTACACAAATGATTGAAGGTTTCGAATACTAACTCTCAGGAGAATGTGATAACAAATCCCTTCATCTCCATCTGCACAGCATCCTGGACTACAACGTGATGTGTCTCCTAACACATGTCACCTCTGATGTTTCTAATATTATGAAGTCATGTTTCTACTAACCCCCTCCCACTCTGTTTTCTCTCTGCAGCGAGCTATTGGGAAGTTTGTCTCTGCTCTTATAGCTTTGCCCAAGTCTATTTTTAAGCTGCCTAAAACTATCCTGCAGTGTGTAGTGAAGGCAGGAAAGGTACTAACACCACAACTAAGTAACAACACTTGCTCTCTGTATGAACGCCACAAAACTGCCTTTCCAGCTCATGTTTGGTGATCTTTTTGAACAGAAATAACCTAAACAGATTCAGTGAACAATGATTTTCACAAGCAAGCACTCATTTGGCGTAAATCATCAAACACAAGCCGGAACAGGAATGCTTTGAGCTCTTCTGCATGCGGTTGTGATTGAAGTGTGTAGCATGAACTGGAGTTTTATTCTGACCTGGTATTGGTTGTGTTAAATGTCGCCTGTCTATTTTTGGCTTTTTCGTGTTGTCTTCTGCTTTAAAAACAAACCATTTGTATGTTAACAAGACAATATTAGTGATAGTATTTGGGCCTGATCCCTAATGAAAGACAATTGTTGTGTTTTGCTACTGTTTGTGCAGGATTCAGTGTATTAATTAAACATTTGAAGACTGGCGAATATAGAAAACCTGCTTGATAAATGCAGTAGACCACAACCAATATTAGGCCTTTGTTGATGTATTAAGTTTGTACTGCACTTTTGAGTAGACTGTTTTTGAAAAAGGTTTTTGTTTAAGTAAGCAATGCAAGTCTCTGCTGCTGAGAAGCATCGCATTCATTAGTAATATATTACAAAAAAGTTATATAAAGTGACTTAAAAAAGTGAAGTTTTGGTCTGTGTTAAGTCTTCCTTAAATGTGTTGTTGCTTTGACATCATTGATCTCAGTGATCTCCTCTTCTTCACCTCCTCTCATTGATCCTCTCTGCTCTCCAGTTTCTTTATCACGCCTGGATCACTGACCCCAAAGCTGCTCTAAAAGCACGAGCCAAAGAGAAACGTAAATTTTGGAAAAAATACACAAAAGTAGTCAGACGTAAAAAAAGCAAGAAAGATGGTAAGCAAGTTATGGAGAACAAAACCTCACATTAAACAGACTTCCAAGTCATTTTTGAGTGTGAAGGAAATTCATGTCTTTTAACCGGAACTGTGTGTCTTTACTTTCCTTCAGCAGGTCATGTGACCATAGATCTTGGTGAGCTCTCAGATGGGCAAGACAAACGAGAGGAGGAAAAGTCAAGTGGTCCAGGTTGGTTTCTGTTCAAAATTAACTTGATTTGTGGTATTAAATTCCATCGTCAAAATACTAAATCTTGAATTGAAATCATGAATAACCCTTGTGATTTTCTCATTGCCACTAACAGCCACAATATAGCAAGTTCTTTATTGAAGTTTTATCAATGCGAGTGTCTTGTGTCTCATTCCCTCCCTCAGATAACATCATCAAGCGAGTGTTCAACATCCTGAAGTTCACCTTCGTGCTCTTCCAGACGACGGTGGACAGCTTCACGCAGTGGATGAACGACATGTGCCGAGAGTACATCGACATCTCCACGGTGCTGCGAATAGAGCGCTGCATGCTGTCCAGAGAGGTCAAAAAGGTATGTTTTAATGCAATATATTCTTGTTTTATGTAACAGTTTATTCAAATCAAATCAAATCAAATCAAGTTTTATTTATATAGCACATTTATAAACGATTTTTGGTCGAGCCAAAGTGCTGTACAAATAATAAAAATACCCTACAGTAAAGACATTTTACAGCTAATACAACAGCACAGTTTGTTCAGAATATCAGTATGAGAAAAAACGACACCCTCTGTCCTTAGACCCTTACATCGTATAAGGAAAAACTTCCGGAGAAAAACCCACAGTTTAAAGGGAAAAAATGGGAGAAACCTCGGTGACTCGGTTATTAGCTATTTTAAGGCTTTTAATGTGATAAAAGGTCAAATATATAACATTTCAACTTTCAAAATGTTTAAATACGAGACCTATGATCGGTCTTATCCCCAAGTTTGCCCGAAAATGTTTAAATCAACAAAATAAAAGTATAATAAACACTTTTAAAATATATACCATAAGCACATAAAGAATTGTAGTCATCAGACATCTAGATCTTTTAGTTAGTAGCAGCCAAGATTAGGAAATGTTGGCGGAAAGCTTGCAGCCTTTGGATCCTATGTTTTGTCAAAGAAACATTCATTTGAAATGACATAATCTATGCTTTTAACTGTTTACACACCATGTTGTTGTTTTTGGAGAGAAGGACATCTCTGCAGATAATTGTGCTCCCGGTAAAAACCTGCTAAATAATGAACAATAAAGAAATCATGACCAGAGACGCTAAATGAAATTATTGCAATTGTGGTGAAAACAACCAACTTTCCACCAAACTTAATTTGTTGATTGTTTGTTTAAGAGAGCCCTAGTTGCTGACGATTACATATTGTACCTTTTTTAAGAGGACCACTGAATGATTATCTTCCCCCAGGGTAACGTGCCATCCAAAGACAGCATCCACGTCCTGTACCAGAAGGCCATGAAGCTCAACATGTCCCGCCAGGCCAGCCTGGATCTGCTGAGTGAGGACGACTCGGCCTCGGGCTCCACCAGGCTGCGCAGACGGAGGAGACCTTACCCCATGGAGAGCCAGGACTCCACGGCCTCCAGAGACAGCATCTCCAGGTACACTGAGCAAAGCGATGCAACATGGGAGACCAAAAGAGTCAATGTTTCAGGGACTTTCTGCTTCCTTTTCAGGTAGTAAAGAATTATAACTTTTCTCTGCACAGGAGAAAGAGACATTATACACAAACACTATTGCACAAATATGTTAATAATTATTGACCAAAGCATGACTGGACATTAATGTAATATGTACCATGCTCTTACCCTGTCAAGTCACACATTGGTAAAGATTTGTCACAGTTTTTTCGACATGATTTGTCGCTAAGAAATTGTTCATCGTCAAGGAGGAAGTAATGAAACATAACATTGTCTAAATACTAAAACATGCTTTTTTATGATCACTTGTAGCTCCAGATGTGGATTTATTTTTGGTTTGGGTACCTCCAATAATTGTTTTCTTACTATCCTCTTATTTTATGAACACATGCAAATTGTTTTGCTTCTGGTTGACCAGGTTTTAAGAAGAGAGAAAAATATTAGATTTAAAAAAATTTCATTATCAAACAATATTCCATTTGCGTCACTCCCTCAAATGTATAAGACAGATTTCAAACCTTAGGCCAATAAAACTTAAACTCTTTGCATTGCTAGATAGCCCTGGGGTTAATGAGAAAAAGTAAAAACAACCCTTTAAAGCAGCCATTACTAGCATAAGTAAGTTCTATAACATCAAGTTGAACCATTTCATCCTCACTCTCTGTTGCATCTCATGTTTTTGTCTTGTCATGATGAGGTTTGAATTCCTTTTCATTTTATGGTAAGGTTGGATTCAACGTTTTTGTATCCCCTGTCAGTGTGACCTCACATCCCCATCTCATTCCCCTCATCACTAATCATCACCTGTCACTCTCACCACCTCTCAGTGGGTACACCGAGGCCACCAATCTGTTTTCTCGCCAATCCACCCTGGAAGACCTGGATGGGATGCCGGAGTGCATTCCCAAAACCAGCGAGCGCGCCCGGCCCAAACTGCGCAAGATGTACGGCCTCGACGCCTCCACCTCCTCCGTGGACAGCTGCAGCAGCTTCATGTCCAGGTGCCTGGCCTCTGCATCCCCCCCACACACACACCTGTGTTCTCATCTTCACCCACATCAATCATGATCCATTTCCTGTTGATTTCTCACTTCAGCTGTATCATTGCATCTCCATTTTGTTTATTGCATCCGGTCAAAAACTCAAAGATAACAACAAAATGGTTTTTTGTATTATTTTGAGATACAAGGTTTTCACCTAAAAACAGTGATATGAAAAGCTGTTTGACAACATAATGGTCTGTTCCTCCTCAGCAATTGCCTTTCAGTAATTCAGGGTTGTAATACATATAACTTTTCTTGTTTTAGTGTTCATATAAACATACAATACATCTTCTTTTTTTCAGTTAAATTAATCCAAATGTAGTTTAACCCATTTAACTGATGTTTTACGTGTTGACAAATACTGTACACTAATTTATGATATCAGCTTTTAATCACATACAAGTGTCTCATAAGCCATTTATTAAATATAAATTATTATCTGTACTAATTATTATTTAAATGAAAAACCTATGCCTTATCCATGGGTAGGGTGTAGCGTTACAAATAATTCAGTTACAGCAAAACTCACGGATGGTTAGAGATAAAATGGCATCAAAAGATATATGCGGTAATAGATTATATTATCGCACGTGGTGGGCACACCTGGCTACTGCTGAGAAAAGTGCAAGCAAGCAGATATTTGAATATTCTGTATAACTCCGCTCTGTTTCCCGCCTGCAGTGAAGCGACCCAGGTTGTGACGCTGTACTCGAGGCAGGGCACCACAGACACCATAGAAGAAGTGGAGGATGAGCACGATCAAGGGGAAGACAAACAGCAGGCGGCTCCCTGGGAGTCCCAACAGCTGGACGAGAGTGAGGGGGCCGAGGGGGGCGGCTGGAGTGATGCAGACCCCAGGGACCAAGAAGAGAAGGAGGAGGAGGAGAAGGAGGAGGGTGAGGAAGGGATGGAGGTACCAAAGGAGCAGGAGAGAGAAAAGAGGGCTCCCTGGGACTCCTTCGACCCAGATGAGGGCCCCTCGCTCAGGGTGGAGGAGACAGAGTCCGCTCAGGAGAAGGACTTCACCACTGACAGTGAGGAGGGGGCAGGACAGCCGGGCTTCACCCCCACAGAGGGGAGAGTCGGGCTGATTTACACTCCTGACACAGACGCTTCCAAAACCTCCGACGCTGACGTTCCTCCGAGCTACAGCAAGGCCGTCAGCTTCGACCGCCTGGAGCTGAGCGACGACGAAAGCGACATGGACAGGAAGAGGGGGGGGCGGATGTTGATGACCTCCGACAGCCGCTCCGACAGCAGGTCCGACCTCATGCTGCCCTCCATGACCACCGAGCTGACCGCCAGCGAACTGCTGCTCAACAAGTGAGTCGACAAACTGAAGCCTTTTAGCATGTAGAGTCACACGAAGCAGTTGTCTTACGATGCTTTGATGCAGATTTATATTGGTTTCTTAATCATTTTAAATAAATTGCACCTAGTAATTGTTCATCTTCTTGTAGTTGTCTTGTGTCAGGTTGTTGTTTTTGATGTCTTTGTGAGGATTTTCCATCTCTTAGTAGAACTTTGTGGGGTTTTGTGGTCATCTTGTGCATCTGGATGGGTGCTTCGTGTCAACTTTTCTACATTTCTTTGTAGTTGTTTTGTGTTTCTTCTTGGTTCTTCAGTAATTTTGCATCCCTTTCTGGTCTTTTTGGGTTCATTTTTTGTTTCTTTAGCCATTTTGACTCTCTCTGAGGTTATTTTGTACCTCTTTTTGGTCATTACGCACTTCTTTGCAGACTTTTTGTGCATCTTTTTGAACACATATTGTAGTTTGCTTTACTTTGTGGTCCATTTGTAGTGTTTTGTGTCAGGTTTTGTGCCACAATCCCATAAACCCTATCCATAATCCCATAAACCCCTTGGCCTGTGCCAGTCAGCCCTGTTCAGTAATCCATTCATACTTGGAGTTATTTTTGGGAGTCTAGAAATATCTGCAAGTTTAAAGTAACTGAACAAATCACAATGTTAAAAATCATTTAGGTTTCTGTAATGTATAGGAATCCCAAAAATGTCTCCTTTTGTCCAGGATGTTTTATGACGAGGAGCTGGAGCAGTCGGACCGGTTCTACGTGAAGCAGCCTCTGATCCTGCAGCTGTGCTACGCCCTCTACAACATGCTGGTGGCGCACTCAGAGATGGTTTGCTACCTCGTCATGGTCATCAACCACATGGTGTCGGCCAACTGCGCCACCCTGGTCCTCCCCACCACCATCTTCCTCTGGGCCATGCTGTCCGTGCCGCGGCCCAGCAAGCGCTACTGGATGACGGCCATCGTCTATACTGAGGTACAAACGGAGAGAAACACGTCCAATAAATCAACTTTTTTATTTTTTTTACATTTCAGTTTTGGATCACATTTCAACTTCAGTGTACATATACATATGTAGTTAAATAGTTTTACAGAGTGGTCCGTCTTTTTTATTTTTCTTGACAAAACAACAACAATAAGAACACAAACATGGGGTGTTTTCTTTTCAATATAAAACATTGACAGTATAGATCAGGGGTGTCAAACTCAAGGCCCGGGGGCCAAATCCGGCCCGCCACATCATTGTATGTGGCCCACAAGAGCTTGCAAAGAATATAATATGTTTATTATAAGGTTACGTGCCGCTTTACAGGAGCACGTTGCCCATAAACTACACAATGCATCTCATTTTGTGAGATGGCACTGAAGAGACTTGCCATTAATTGCAATTATTTGCCCTAGACTTCTGCTTTCAGACGTAGTTAATTATGAAGTTATTACCCTATCCGATAATAATCCAATGCAGAGGAAATATTGTTAAATAATACAATATTATATATATATTACATATATTTATCTATGTATATTTATATAGTCTTAAAGTTACCACCGGCCCTTTGAGTGCAACCACAATTCTAATGTGGCCCGCGATTAAATTGAGTTTGACACCCCTGGGATAGATCATTAAATAAAATATTCAAACAGTTAAACAAAAGAAGGGCGTATCGGGGTAATATACGCTTTCCATTTCTCCCAAATGTCCTCAAATGTAAGTTCCTGGAGCCTCATAGAGAAGGTTATTCTTTCCATTACAAAGATTTCATAAATGATATCGTACCAATGATATATAGATGGGCTGTTTGGTTTGAGCCATTTCTTTGGGATTGCTTTCCTCGCAGCTACACTCAACATCCCAAACAAGTATCTTGTTTTAATATTTGTGGACATTTTAATATATCAAATACCAAGTCAAATCTGCAGTTCTTTTCTTAGTGTTGGTGACAATATTTCTCATGTATCGGGCATTTTATTTTTGAAATAAAGCTCCAATATAGAATAAAAATAATCGTATCTGCTCTCCACAATTAATTTAAAAAAGTTCAAACGAGCATGACAATTACTCCAAACAGGAAGTAGTTAAAAGATTGGACATTTATGCACAGACAAGATAATGTAAAAATGTATATGTGCTATGTATTGATTAAAAGGAAAAAATATGCCATCCTTGAGTAAAATGCACCCAATGGAGTGGATGGTTACAAATAAAAATTCTTAAAGAAATAATATATATTTGTTTTAATTATTATTACAATTGCATTCTAGTCTAAGAGTAATCATTAACATGTCAATGATTAATGAAACTGTGCCATTATCCTGACTGTAGCTTCACTGTAACATATTGTTTTTTTCCCACCAGGTCACCATCTTCATCAAGTACTTCTTCCAGTTTGGCTTCTTCCCCTTCAACCAGAACCCTTTGGGTGATAAGGGCAAACCTTTTCACCCTCCCAACATCATCGGAGTGGAGAAGAAGGACGGCTACGTCCACTACGACCTGGTCCAGTTACTGGCTCTCTTCTTCCACAGATCCATCCTGAAGGTTCCTGCAAAATGAATATTTGGACAATACTAATATGTGAATCATATTAAAAGTCACCTATTGTGCAAAATCCATCCACATTTTCATGTCTTTTCTACATCAACATGTGTCCCCTCTGTGTAAAGAGATTCTGAAAGTTTCAGGAACAAAGATTCTCTCACTTTTTGTCCTGATCCATTTATATAAAAACCTGTCTGAAAACGAGCTGATCAGATTTTGGCCACTTTATGATGTCATAACGATTGTTTGGCTTGTGTAACCATTAGCCAATCAACAACCAAGGTACCCCCCCCCCCCCCCCCCCCCCCCCCCCCCCCCACCTTATCACCTGAATCTCCTCCTAGAGCACCATTGTGTTCTTTTTAACCAAATATCTCTCAGAGGGGCGTGGGGAGGGGCTCCTTATTTTCATCTAAAGTCTCAGACAGAGAATCAGCACTTTTTAAACAGGGCTGAAACAGAGTGGATTATGGGATGCTGCAATGATCTGTTTGGTGTTTGGAGCCAAACACTTCAGAGACATGTTTTGTATATATATCTGAGACCTATAATATATTAATGAAAAACAGTATAATAGGGGACCTTTAAATGAAAATGATGCAACTATACTCCCTTTATCAGACTCAAGTATTCTGTGTGCAAATATGATACAGCTTTTATTAATCCCTGAATTCTTCGTCTTCTTTGCAGTGTCACGGTCTGTGGGACGAGGACGACTCCAAAGAAAGGCGAGCGCCGTCGCGTCAGAGCGAGTCAGAGGACGAGGGAAAGAGCAAATCAGAGGAGAGTGAGAAGGGGTCTGAACGCGCCTCCTCCATGATGAGTGAGAGAGGCTCCACTCACACCTTGAGGTCCTTAAACTTTGGCACCTCCATCGATTCAGATCACGTCCAGGTTCAGTACCCGCAGCAGCAGACCTTCCAGCGGCGGAAGAGCTCCAGCGGAGGCTCGCACATTTCTCACCGATCTCTCCACTCCACTGTGAGGTCCAAGAGAGGTGAGGATCCTTTTCTGGTCTCTGGTTTCTACTACTGGATACACTAGTGGTGCTTGAGCTGGGTTGTTTCTGGGGGTTTTGGAGAAAAAAGGAAATGGTAAATGGGTTTTAGATTACATCGGCCATAGTATCAATGTAATGTATGCTTAGCTGTTAGGCTATAGTAATCATATGCCAAAATGTTTAGAAACCAAAGAGCAATAAACCACTTCTCAGCGTGTAGTGCCAATGTTGTGGCTCAGGAAGAAGATGGTGTGATGGAATATTAATTCCAGCTTCGGTGTTCTCCAGTACAATCTAAAGGTTTATTTGAAGAGTGATTAAGGAGGATGGACTAATGATGAGTCATTTTCATGATAACTCAGTCAAAACAATCTTAGCAAGCCATTGTATCATCACTCTGTGGCCTTGCATGGCAGAGGACCCTGGGTCAGTTATTTGACTGTATTTTGGAGAGATATGTTTAACGTTTTAGCTTTTAATATAGATTAGCCTATATATGTATGTACTAAAAGATAGACAATAGCTCAAAATTACTTAACAGATGGTCGCCTATCAATTAGAGGGTTATTACATTACATGACATGTTACTTGTTAGACGCTTTTATCCAAAGCGACTTACATACTCAATAATGTGGGCAATCCCCACAGGAGCAATTTGGGGTGAAGTGTCTTGCCCAGGTACACAACGACATGCTGACTGCAGTGGGGTTTGAACCTGTGCTCGCTTGATCCGAACACCAACGCTCTATCCACTGCGCCACACGCCTCCACATGGTTATGGTTCAATCCCTAAAGTTAAAGTGTGATTAGGCAAGATACTGAACCCTAAATTGCCCCGGATGAACAACGGTGGCTGTGAGTGTGAGCTGGTGGCATCTTCTATGGCAGCCTCTGGCACTGAATGAATAATGACTTGTATATGTTAACAAAATACATTCAATTTACCATTTAAAGATGCATCTTAAGACAGTTTAGGAGCAATCAATGCGACTCCAAAAGGTTGAGAAGCATTGAACGAGACAAGTGGTTTAAAACATGAGGCTGAATATTAGAAAATGTAACACTCTTCCCCTTAAAAAGCCCTGAGAGAATTGTGTTATTTTGTAGCACGCATAGCCTTTCCTCTTCTTACAATAATATCCATAACATCAATAATATAGAGAAGGAATCCTTTGAGCTCTTACTACAAAAACATGTCTTGTGTTGTTTAGCCTTCACCCCTGAATTAAGTCTTTGTGTTTGTGAATCTCCTCTCTTTATCAGCGACTCGTCACGCTTCATTTACAGCTGGAAATGTAAATTGTTTCCACAGGAAGTACCGCCTCCCACCACAGCAGCCACAAGGACGGCAGCGAGGCCAGCGTCCATCAGAAGACCCGAAAACAGATGATCACGGAGAAGCTGAGGGAGCAGCTCCTCAAGGGGAAAGCCTTCATCATTAAGCGGTACGATGACGCACAGCTGGCTCACAGGAGTTGGGTTTTTTGTCTGAATCCACAGCTGCTTACTGGCCAACACACGTGATTTTAGCAGAAAGTGTGTAACTTTATGAGGGCTTTGATGAGAACTGTGCTCAGCAAGTACGCCCAACAAATAATGGAAAATGATATCAGTGATGTATAGCAGCTAAAAACCTTTCAAAGGTCTACATTTAGACCTTTAATTACGCTTTCCCGTTTGGCCAGCAGTGTAATTTGTGTAAGTGCTGCAACAGACAGTCAAAACATGTTACTGTTTTGATTTAATCACAGAGGAACAAGTGGTTTCTGAGATATTACGTCTGCAGCTGTAATTGAAACACAAAAAAAATTGTCATTTAGTAAATCGTTAACATTTTCTCAAACAATGTGTTACAGACAAACAACGTCAGACAGTATTGGTCATAAAATCCAAACAAATGCAATTAAATAGCCTTTCTAATTCAAAGATTCCATTGTAAAACAACCGTGCATTTGACAAAATACATTCCTACAATACAATCCCATGCTGACAGACTGACAGATACATTGTTTTATTGTTTAAGAAAGGGATGAAAGACCCTCCTGAACCTTTTGCTCAGAATATCGCCTCATTCACCTTATATAATAAGTGTGTGTGAGGTAATCCTAATAGGCAGGTTAACACCAGACCACTTAAAGAACATTAGACTGCAGAACTGTGTGGTATATAAATCAAATATATAAAATTCAGAGAAGTAATTCCCAGACTGAAATTCAAGAGACTTTGGTTTGCATATGTAATCAAAACCTCCTAAAGTGGAGGAAGTAAACAACGTTAGCCATCATATTAATTAGTGTCATTAGTAATAACAACACAAAAAAGATGCATGGTAAATTATTCAAAGCTAGCGTAGTGTTTAATTATTTTTAAAAGACCAGATTCTGTTCCTTAAAATTGAACAAATCCCAAAACATTGATGAAGGTCAGAATCTTTGTGTAATGGCTTTTTAAAGAGACATTTCTCAAGAACAGGTGATGAATGAAGCTTGTTGTTTGTTTTTCTTCTCAGGTTCCTGGAGATCTACCTTCCCATGAGGCAGTTCTTCTTCAACCTGATCCACCCGGAGTACAGCGCGGTCACAGACGTCTACGTGCTGATGTTCCTCTCTGATACCGTTGACTTCATCATCATCGTGTTCGGCTTCTGGGCGTTTGGTGTAAGTTTTAATAATAATAATAATACATTTTATTTAAGGCGCCTTTCATGACACCCAAGGACACCCTACAATTAGTTAAATATTCTAAGAGGTAAAAGCAACAGAACATGATAAAAACACAAACATACCATCATGGAGAAGACGATTAAAGTGGACACAGATGATAGGGAGCACTACAGTGAGTAGGCTGAACTTAACAGGTGGGCTTTGAGGAGACAAAGTCAAAAGTCAACTTTATTGTCAATCTTCCAGGTTGTGTGTACAGACGGAGAGATCGAAATACCGCTTCTCACAATCCCGAATATAAAAAACAAATGTATATAAAAATATGTGTGCAAATATGTATAAATATACACAAAATCAAAGACACATTTTTACATGTGCACACATTAAGACCAGGGTTTCCGTTAGCCGGTAATTACCAGTTTTTAGCTGGTAAAATTTATTAAAAACCGGTAAATTCAAAACCTGCGGGTCAAAATGTCCGGTAATAATTAGGGATGCTCCGATCGATCGGCCGCCGGTCATTATCGGCCGATATTCACTCTTAATAGTTTGATCGGTGCTCTCTATAAAGGCCGATCAGGAGAGCTGGATCTGATCGATATGGACATAATTCGTCATCATTTTGAGTGAAGTATAACCGGACGCGAGAGAGAGATCAGATCAGCTGCTGCATAATCACCTGAAGCCCCGCCCACTGTTTAGCGAGCTGCATGAGAAACTGACAGGAGAGAGGGAGAGAGGAAAAGAGAGGATCCGTTTCTCCCGTGTTATTATTCAATGTTAATGTAAACTTTTGAATAATGTACTTTATCTACTACAAGTAGTTTGTTTGAATGTAATAATGTTGTTTGTGGAAGCGCATCATTTATTGAAAAAGGAATCTGAATTTTTCGATCTGTTACGATTATAAACTGAAGCAATATAAAAATGAGCCCCATTAACTGAGTTTTAAACATCAGCATATCCGGTCATAGTCCGGTAATTACCTGCTAACGGAAACTCTGCTACACAATTCTTATTATTATTGTTGAAACATAACCGGTAAGTTTCAAATTTGTCCGGTAAAATAAAATCTGTCCGGACATTTGACCGGCGAGAAAAAATACTAGCGGAAACCCTGATTAAGACCTACATAAAAACACAACAATCAATATATACAAAATAACAGTCACTTCAATATTTGAGAATGTACATTAGTGCAAAATTGTACATAGAATGTGCAAAATATTAGTGCCAGATTGTCCATAGCAGTGTAAAAAGTGTCTGGTGCTGGATTTGAGTGTCCGAGTGTGTGGGGGAGTTATAGTCCAGTGGGGGGAGAGGGGGGAGAGAGTTCAGCCTGGTGGAAAAAACTGTTCTTTAGGATGGACTTGAATGTGGTGATCGTGTCAGATTGTTGGATGTGAAGGGGGAGAGAGTTCCATAGTTTGTTTTAGAACAACATTTAGACCCAGAAACCAAATCACTTCTGACAAAGCTAACATTTATTTTCTTCCCTTGTAGAAACACTCGGCTGCAGACATCACGTCGTCGCTGTCGGAGGATCAGGTGCCGGGGCCCTTCCTGGTCATGGTGCTGATCCAGTTTGGCACCATGGTGGTGGACCGGGCCCTCTACCTCAGGAAGTCTGTCCTGGGGAAAGTCATCTTCCAGGTCATCCTGGTGTTTGGGATCCACTTCTGGATGTTCTTCATCCTGCCAGGAGTCACAGAAAAGTAAGGACTCAGTCACTGTACAACAAATCACCTCTGGCTGGAAGAGAACTCTCTGCTCCATAGCTTTGGACCTTGTTGTGAGCAGTTTGGTGTAGGAACGACTATAACCACTTTTTTATTTGCTAGTAAACTATCTCTTTAAAATAGGCTGAGTGTCTTTGGTACATGCTTGTTTATATCTGAAATAGGGTTGCAAAGGGGCGGAACATTTCCGGTAAATTTCCGGAAAGTTTCCATGGGAAGTTAAGCTGGAGAATTTTGGAAATATTCGATGCAAAATTAAACAAAAAACATGACATTTCAACAGATTTTTTATTTTTTAGTAGAACAGAACAAGTTTTAATTATTTTATTGAACAATTATTTGTTTCATTGAAGAACGAAAACAGGAATGTTGAGTTAAATATTACTCATCTGTGCTTGTGATGGAGGAATGCACAGTGCCTGTAGGGGGTGTGGTCTCAATAGCCATGCAGTAAGCAGTGTGCTATGGCATGGATATTCAAGTGTACTTGAATGGCATCTGTTTGTTTTAGTCAAGATTATGCTAAAATATATTTTCCCCAACTATATTTAAGTTCCCTATGAAGAGCCAACCTTCAATTTTGAAAATTCCCAGTTTATTCCCATAAATTCCCGTTTATTCCCGTTAATTCCCATCGAAAGTTTCCATCTTTGAAAATTCCCGGATTTTTGCAACCCTAATCTGAAATGACTTTTACTTTTTGCACTCATGTTATTTTGTTGCAAAGATTTAACAAACAACATATTTGAGATTATTCGGGCTGCCTAAAAATAAAATAAAATGACCAAACTACTACATCCTTCTATTTCACTAGCTGTCTCTCTTGTCTTCCCCTCGTAGGCGTTTCAGCGAGAACAAGGTCGCTCAGATGTGGTATTTTGTCAAGTGCATCTACTTCGGGCTGTCAGCCTATCAGATCCGCTGTGGTTATCCCACCCGCATTTTGGGAAACTTCCTCACCAAGGGCCACAATTATGCCAACCTCTTCCTGTTTCAAGGGTGAGTTCATCTGGGAGTCTCATTTCTTCCAGCTGGGCAAACAGGGCCACGGCTCCGGTCGTCTAGCTGCTGCTGCAGGAATACAAAGAGACACACAAGATTACACCTGAGGCTTTCTGTTTCAGAAATGTGGAAACCATTTACTTAAAGGGGAAATGCACATTTGTTATTGTTAACTTAAGCCTATTGTGCACCCCATTTTTTACGTGTTAGTGTTCAGGTTTTTAATATTATATTTAGTGCTGAAATGATAAGTCAAGTTAACGTTTATTGACTAAATCTTTAAATAATTATGAAAGTAGTCATTAGCTTCAACCCTTGTCCTGCCATTATTATTTAATATAAAGCTTATTATTGATTAAATACATTTCACATTTAGAAACTACACTTTAAATAACTAGATTATTATCTATCTGTGTAGGTTAAAATTAGGTGTCTTATATATTATATCGTTTTTGGGCTTTAATGAATAATACAAACGTCTGGGTATGCAATTTAATTTATTTAATTTAATTTATTTTTCTGAAAGGGCTGTAAGTAATTAAGTATAAAAAAGGAAGTCGTCGCCACATGGCTGCCAGTGTTGTTAAGTCAAATAACTTGCTCTTTTTTCTTTTTTTTACTGTTTTTAATAGAATATAGGTGTTCATAAACCAACAAAAGTATTTTATTTTTATAATATATTAACATGTACATCAAACACCCTAGCTTATATTATTAGGCCTGTTCTTCTCTTGTACACAATTAACAAATTAGAGTGATTTACTGTATTAAGAAATTCAATCATACTTTTGATCACCTCGTTTATTTGTTAGCAGATCAACTGACAGTTGTGTGTTGTGTGTAGTTTCCGTATGGTGCCGTTCCTGACGGAGCTGCGGGCCGTGATGGACTGGGTCTGGACGGACACCTCGCTGTCTCTGTCCAGCTGGATCTGTGTGGAGGACATCTACGCTCACATCTTCATCCTGAAGTGCTGGAGAGAGTCTGAGAAGGTGTTTATCATTGTGCCGTCAGTGTGGAGAACCACTTTCAGAGCCAGAGTCTGTCATGGTGGAATTCATGCTGAAATGTGCTTTTGTTGAGCCGGATCTATTGTTTTTTTGAGAGAAAAACTCCCTCTGGAGGGAACACAGGGATTGTAGCCTTTGCAGAGCATTTACATGCACAACAACCTATGGGAGAGGGGAAACCACAAAAAGCATAACGTCGGGTTACGTATTGTAACCCTTGTTATATAAACACAGGCGGAGCCCTCTACTGGACTCTATGGGTACTACCTTATCATGCAAGCATTCACCTACTGAGATTTCTATAGACGTAGCCGGCCCCGGGGCGGGCCTACCTGAATGCGTGCGCATCTCACTTCCGTATAAAAGGAGGCCTCGCCTCCTGACCACCATCCTACACCACTCTTCAGCGAGCGGTATAGGACAGACAGTGCCCCCAAGGTAGAGGGCTCCGCCTGTGTTTATATAACAAGGGTTACAATACGTAACCCGATGTTATATCTCTCACAGGCTCCGCCCTCTACTGGACTCTATGGGTACAGTGGGCGGAGCCCCGATGTATGCACGCACTGTCGTCCAGCACACCGATCCACCTCACTGTCCCTGACCGGCTTTAGCAGCCACTGCGCCTCACTCACCTCTCCCTCGGTTGTAACCGTGGAGAAGTCCGGGCTGCGGCCGATAGAGCACACCCTGACGCGCTTGCCTCGCAAAAAAGTGTGCTCAAAAATAGTGCTGAGGACTCCCGTGCGTCTGCCCCTAGGCAGACAGGGAAAGTCCGCAGCCCTGTATGGGTTCACTATGCACTCTCCCTCCTGAGTCCCTAAAGAGCACGGGGAGAACGCAAGTGCCCCCTACGTCCCCCCACTCAGCCACTGACCCTGTGCAGAGTGTGTAGGGACAACAATATGGAGGGCTCTCCCCCTCCTGCCCCCAGGCAGGCGAGGGGAGCCCTTCAGCCCTGTAAGGGCCCAGAGCGCATTACATCACCCCGCGACCCTCCAGGGGTCCGGAGAAATGTAAGCGCATTTACGCCCGGGGAGGGGGTCAGATGCCCACTGACCCACAGCCCCCCCCCTCCTCACCAGTCCTGTGTTGCCACAGCAAGTACAGACGATGAGAAAGAGCCAGACATATCCAAGAGATAAAACTTTATGAAGGGGCCTGGCGTTGACCAAGACGCCGCCGTGCATATATCCTCCACACTCACACCGCTGAATAAGGCTGTTGATGCAGCCACAGCTCGTGTGGAGTGCGCACGGACCCCCATGGGACAGGCTCTCCCTGCCTGCTTGTAGGCGTGTGCAATGGTTTCACAAAGCCAGCCTGCCAGGCGTTTCTTGGACAGAGCTTTTCCAGTCACCCCGCCCCCGAAGCACACAAACAGCTGTTCAGTGCGTCTCAGGGTAGCTGTGCGCTCTACATAATATGCTAATGCACGCACCAGGCAGAGGAGGTGTAATTTAGCTTCTCTAGCCCCCCCATGGGGTGGAAGACTAAAACCCCCCAATTGAATAGCCCTCGACCTGAACTCACTCCTTAGGCTCTTGGGCACAAAGGAGGGGTTCGGTCTGAGTGTCGCCCCACTCTGGTCACCCCGAATCAATAAACAGCTCGGGTGCACCGACAGAGCGGTTAACTCAGACACTCTTTTGGCTGACGTTAAGGCAAGTAGCAATGCTGTCTTCCACGACAGTGCTTTCAGGGAGGAGAGCTCAAGAGGCTCAAATGGCCCCGTGACCAAGGCCTCGAGCACCAACGGCAGGTCCCACTGTGGGGCGGAGGCGTGCACCACCGGGCGCAGCCTCCTGACCCCCTGTAAAAACCGCAACATCAGTGGATGAGAGAAGGCTGACCTGCCGTTGAATCCCTCATGACAGGACGAGATGGCTGCTGCATACACCTTCACTGTGGAATGAGCAAGCCCTCTGTCCACCAGTAACTGTAAGAAGGATAAAATAGAGCCCAACTCACAAGATACGGGCTCTATTCCCCGCTCCTCACACCAATGCTGGAATCTCAACCACTTCGGCCTGTAACAGGCTGTGGTGGATTCTGCTCTAGCTGCCTGGATAGACTGAATAACGCTGTCAGACAATCCACCCTGTCTCAGCCTGTCCCTCTCAGGAGCCAAGCCTGAAGAGGACGGCCCAGAGTGGGTAACGCCCCGATTGCACCTGCCTCTTGAGACATCGCCCCCCAGAACTGGGGGATCGCCCAGGGCTGGCCCACCTTCATCTGTGTCATTTCTGAGTACCACGGAGCCCCGACGCGATCCGGTGCCAACAGAATGACTACCAGACGTTCTCGCCTCACTCTCCCCAGGAGAGGGAGAATGAGACGCAGCAATGGAAAGGCGTATAGCAGCTTTTTTGGCCATGGCTCGTGTGCAAACGCGTCCACCCCCAAAGGCGGGTCGTCGCTCAGGGCCATGGAAAACCACAGGGCACAGTGGCTGTTGCGCCGGCTGGCGAACAGGTCCACTTCCGCTCTCCCGAACTGGGCCCAGATCTGCTTCACCACCTCCGGGTGAAGCGTCCATTCGCCTGGCAGGGGGCCGCCCCTCGACATGAGGTCGGCCCCCCTGTTCTCCAGTCCCGGGATATGGAGGGCTCTCAGAGATAATGCCACCTCTGATGCCCATAACCACAGCCTCTCCGCTGTGGCCAACAAGGCGGCGGAGCGGACTCCGCCCTGCCTGTTGATATAAGCCACTGTGGTGCTGTTGTCGCTCCTGACCAATACATGTCTCCCTTGAATTAGGGGCATGAAATGCTGGAGGACTAACACTACCGCCCGTAGCTCTAGGAGGTTGCTGTGTCGTGTTTCTGTTAGAGACCAGCGCCCACCTATAGCCCTCTTCAGGCAGGTCCCTCCCCATCCTGTTCTGGATGCGTCCGTGAAAACTGTGATGTAGGAGGTTACCCGCCCCAGTGGAGACCCCCTCCGGAGGTGCCCGGGAGACCCCCAGAACCGGAGGTTGCCCTCCACTGAGGGGGGGATGGTCACCAGCCGCCGTTTGTGCCTCTTGGGATCCAAACGCAGACTGGAAAACCACCTCTGCAGGCGGCGCATATGCAGTAACCCCAATGGGACCACAACGTGAGCAGCCGCCATGAGACCCAGAGTCTGCATGACAGTTAAAGCTGTCACTGTTGCCCCCTGTCGCAGCCTGTACACCGCCCTGAGAAGGGACGTACGCCTGCTTTCTGACAGGGTGGCACGTAGCGCGTCTGCATCGAGCACCACTCCCAAATACAACGCCTGTTGGTGAGGTATGGGGGTGCTCTTTCCCCAATTGATCGCAAAGCCTAATTTGGTTAAGTGTGTGATCAATTGTGCTGTGCAAAACATTGCCTGTTCCCGGGACCCAGCCATGACTATGAGGTCGTCTATGTAAAAGAAAACTCTCATGCCCTGGGCGCGCAGCGGTTGAAGCGCTGTGGCCACACATTTGCTGAATGTGCGTGGGGATAGGGAATAGCCGAACGGGAGTCTGTTGTACTCGTAGGCTATCCCTTGAAAGGCAAAACGCAGATACTTCCTGTGCTCTGGCACAATCTCCACATGAATTGATTGATTGATTGAAAAGTTTATTAACAGCTTGTATATTGGGTACAGTACAGTACAGCTCAAAACATACAATTGTTAAGGGGATGCAGACCAGAGAAAGACTTTCGTCTTGTTTACATCAGGGTCCCCCATTTCCAATTCATCATATCATTTAAGACATATAAGACATATTTGACATACAGATGGCTTATTTACAATTTACATACAGGTGGTTTTTTACATACAGATGGCTTATTTACAATTTTCATTTTAGATTTCGTTCTAATACATCCTAACCGGACATTTAAGACATACCAAGTCTACAGATATACAGTTAGTAACAGAGTCTAAAATGCGAGTATATACATAGATGGGGGGGGGAAGCTGTCCATTGTACGACAGGTTGAGATTTGTACCATTACCGGGGCCAGTTTTGCAATGCTTTCCCCCGAAGGTGCTCTTTAAGAGAGGTTTTGAAGGTAAGTATAGTTTTACTTTCCTTTACAGTTGTGGGAAGAGCGTTCCACCTTGATGTGGCATAATTGCGAAACGTGTATTCCCCTTTTTTTGTGCCAAATCTGGGTTTTACATGATTTGTGGAGCTCCCTCTGGTGTTATGATCATGGTATTCCTTGACCTTTGGGAAGAATTTTGACATGTACATGGGTACCATAGAGGTGTAGTGGATCTTGTAGACCAGGCCCATTGCAAGTAGCTGTACTCTGTCGTCTACTCTAAGCCATCCTAGGTTGTCAAAGTGGGCAGAGGTGAGGTGGGTTCTAGATGAAAGGTCAAGCAGTAGTCTGACCAGTTTATTTTGCGATGTTTGAAGTTTTATTTTTAGCGCCTTGGAGGTGCTATGGTACCATGACGTGCAAGCATAGTCATAGTACCCTTGAATGAGTGCTCCTGCCAGAGTTTTCAGGGTGTTTTTGTTTACCAGAGAGGAGATCCGGTATAGGAATCTAGTTCTTTGATTGACTTTTTTTATTACATTGGATGCCATTTTGTCACAGGAGAGGTTTGCCTCAAGAATAGATCCTAGGTATGAAAGTATGCGTCTTTCAGGTCGATGGTGGTGAACCAATCGCCCGGCTGCACTAGCCCCATTAACTGTTTGATAGTTAACATGCGAAATTTCCTGCGGCAAATGTGAAGATTCAGGCTGCGCAAATCTAGAATAGGTCTGAATTCCCCTGTCTTCTTGAAAACCAGGAAGTACATGGAATAAAAACCCTTTTCCTTTTGCTGAGGATGCACCACAGACACTGCCTGTTTCTGCACCAAAGCCTGAATCTCTGTTGAGAGGAAACCCATCTCCTCCTGGGATGACAGAATTACCTCTCGCATGCCTCTGAATGGAGGTGGGACGCTGCAAAACTGGAGTGAATAACCCCGTTTCAGCGTCCTGTCCATCCACTCTGACAGTACACAGCTGAGTTTCCATTCCCCATAATATTGAGTTAATGGACAAGCCCTTAGCTGTGGGGCCGCAGCTATAAAGCTGTGATACTCTCTGGTGACCCGTTCCGCCGCAAAATCCCCCGTGAAAGGAAGATTTGCCCATGGAGGGTCGACACAGAAAGGGCCGATTTTTTATTGAGGTCCCTGAACACACCATCGCGCGCTCCACTCTAACGCTGTTCTCATTACCATGGTAACCAGCATTAACCGGAGTTTTTGTTGACGTAATGTGTTCACCTGAGGTCCCTGAACACACCATGGGCTCCTGAGAGAGCGCGAGCTCCGCCATAATGCAGCTCTTACCACTACGGTAAACTGTATTAATTGGAGCCTTTATTCTAGGCGTAGTGTGTTCCCTAACCATAATGCGCCGACTAGCAAGCCCCTGTACCCGCATAGCGCTACTATAGCACTTCCTGCGGTTTATCTCTCTCATCTGCGCATGCCCACTAGCTGTCTCCTTTACAGGAGAAATAACCGGGGTAGCGAGTGGGGAATATGTACAGTCAACAATGTGTGTGAGTGCAGGATTGTGAAAACAAATGACACTCAGACTTGGATACAGATCACCTTTTTCTTTATTAGTTTTCCTAATAAAAGGGACCTGGGCATTGAACAGGGAGGAGGTGGGATTCACCCTAGCGTCCTGGGTGGAGAGACCCGTTGAGACGCTTCCTCCCTCCGCCAGTCAGCTGCGTTTTGGCGGAGCTCCCCACCCGGCAGTTCTCTGCTGCTGCTGAGACTGCCGTGGCCGGGCAGCCCGCCCCCGTGAGTGCCGGTACGCTGGCCCCACGGGGTCGGTTGAAGAAGTGGAGGGTGCTACCGGCACGGGACCTTCGTACCGGCGTCTCTCCCTCCGTCTCACCGTTGCACTGCGCTCCGCCGCCCGCGGAGGACGCTGTGCCTGGGGAGAAGCTAGCGGCAACATGCGGCTTAGCTGCAGCCTCTCTTCCTCCAGACGGCTGAAACGCTGGGTGACCGAGGCTATAGACCCAAAGAGCCCTTCCGTGGAAACGGGGGCTCCAAGGAGATCTGCTCGGTCCTTTTTGGGCAGCGCGGTGAGTCCCAGCCACACATGACGAGACGTCACTGTGGCTAAGGACATCACCCGCCCGGCTGCGGTGGCCACTCCATGGATCAGATTATTCATCTGACCTATGCAGCGGTCTGGATAATCATCCCCGTCCTGAGACGGGAGAGCGGGGGCGTCTGCTCGAGGAGTAATCAAGGAGACGCCCAACACACCCAGATTATTAGCCGCAGCCGCCATCTGTGAACAGAGCCTGAACATTTTATCCAAATATTCCAAGGCTTCCCGGTCCCGCGGCAGCGGTTTCTTCCCCTCCGCCCAACCAGCTGATCGTGGCAACAGATGGGCCGCCAGGCTCTCGTCGAGGGGGGGCACGCCAGAACACACCGTGTCTGATCGGCCCTGCACCCTGATAATGCCCGACATGGATGCTATGGCGGCCTTCGTCCTCAATGGACGCCGCCATGTCGCCTCCACACACTGCCAGATGTCTGGCAACGGGAGCGAGACGAAAGCCGGCTGCGCCGGAAGCACCGGGCCGTAAAACCCCTGCCTAAGGCGGTTTACAGGCCTCGGTGGCAGCGGTGGGGGGAGCGGTAAGCCTACACGCTCCGCTGCCTGGGTCATCACCGCTGGGAAGTCCAGTCGCGCAGACCTGAGTGCTGGGCCCTCCTGGCTGTCGGACCCGGGGGTGTCGGACAAGGAGATGTCGTCATCCTCCTCCGCGAAGTCGACCACTCGGTCCCTCGGAAGGACGAATTCAAACGGCACGTCCTCCAGGTCGTCCATGTCCACCACCTCGAGGTCCACATCCTCTTCCTCTCCGCGCACCTGCGGGCCGAACTTCCTCGAGAAGTGCTCCGCACGATGCCGGCGGTTTAGCATCGGGATCGAACAGCAGGAAACACAGGCCGGTGTCTGGCCCGCTCCCTGCTCAGCATGATCCTGTCCCAGGCACTGGAAACACTGACGATGCGGGTCGATGCTCCAGGAGTGGCTCCATTTTCACAATATCTCTCTCTTTCTCTACTTCCTTTCTCCCACTTGTACGTCTCGGACTCAGTGCTAGGTTACCACCTCCGCTCGCTGAAGAGTAAAGGATGGTGGTCAGGAGGCGAGGCCTCCTTTTATACGGAAGTGAGATGCGCACGCATTCAGGTAGGCCCGCCCCGGGGCCGGCTACGTCTATAGAAATCTCAGTAGGTGAATGCTTGCATGATAAGGTAGTACCCATAGAGTCCAGTAGAGGGCGGAGCCTGTGAGAGATATAACAGGCCCTTTAACCTTCTGTCTTTTTAATGAGAATCTTATTTTTCTCTAAATCTAAAAGCCAGCAGACTGAAAAATATTCTAACAATTCAATCTGAACTAGTTTCCCCCTCAATATGATCTATAAGACGAGAAACAGCTGTTAGAGGGTCTACAGCTAAACAAAAGTTCGTATTCAATACCTTAAATACAAAGTTTGAAAAATGCTTCTGCGAACTAGGACTTAATTGCGTGATTCAAATCAACAAATAGGTCCAGGGATAGAAAACATGTTTCCATTCCGGAAAAAAAATGATTGAGATTTTTTGAAATACTACAGGAAAACCCTCTGTTTGGCCGAATAACACATCTTAATGTCCTGTTTCTGCGTCCGTCTGCAGAAATACCCCCAGCCGCGAGGCCAGAAGAAGAAGGCGGTGGTGAAGTACGGGATGGGGGGGATGATCGTGGCGCTGCTGATCTGCATCGTGTGGTTCCCGCTGCTCTTCATGTCCCTCGTTAAGTCCGTGGCTGGAGTCGTCAACACGCCGCTGGACGTGTCCTTTACAATCACGCTGGCTGGCTTTACGGTGAGCACAGAGTTTCTTTCATCAAGTAAATCAAGCTTAAACATTCTTGCAAAGTGCTTTACTGATACATCTCCCACCAAAGCAAAATCCTTTGTAATTAATCCTGCGTCATTTGAAAAGAGTTCAAGTAGATGTACAGGGAGTAAATACATCTGTGATTCATTGAAGTCCTTATTTTAATGGCTCGTCACTTTTTGATCAGTTTGCTTGATTTCTGGGAGAGAGAATCCAGAGGATTAAGATGATATTTTCTAAGCAGTGAGAATAATCTAGCTGCAGCGTTCAATGTATAATTTTTGGAAGACTTAGAGTGTAATTACTTAAATAAACAAACATTTCCTTTTCTCACAGCCCATCTTCACCATGAGCGCTCAGCAAAAACAACTGCAGCATGTGAGCACAAGCGAGTTTACCAAGTTTCATGACAAATACAAGGGTAACGCTGTGAGTATGAGAAATATAATTCAAAAACAAAGATGTCAGTTGTGTTGTGTTTGTAATGTTGACAGCATTTATGCTTAAATAACTGAAATGATTAATTTATTATTATTAACAATCAACCTAAAAGCTGGTGAAATTCTCCTTCATTGAGAGGTTCCTGCTCTGAGTCCCACCTCTGTGTGTTTGGCTGATAGTTCTACACTAAGTGGCTCAAATGTTTTAATATTGTTTATGCTGTGGTTATCAGGACGCCATGCAGTGGCTCGAGAGCTACTTCAAGGAGGACCTGATCATCGCAGAGCTGAAAGGCAGCTCCAACAGTCTGTGGACCATCAGCCCGCCCAGCAGGAAAAACCTGATCGCCATGCTGAGCAGCGAAGAGGAGTTCCCCATCACCGTGGCCTGGTCCGTGCAAAGGTAAGCACATGTTGTCCGTGAATGTATGCTTGTATCTACCCATGCTCGTAGAATTATATTACACTAGGGGGCTGCAATTTAATTACAAGACATTTTAAATATACAGTAACACATACAAGCACTAAGAAAAAAGGTCCTGCAGGAATATGAAAAATCCCTAAGCATACTTTTCTAGTGAACTTGTGTTGTTTTTATAAAGAGGCTGCTTGCACACCCGGTGTAGAGGTTAATAAGATGTTAAATCATGTTTTCCTTTCGTGACCTTAGAAACCTCAGTTTTGGTGCCAAGGCTGAAATAGCGTCAGGAAAGCGAGTGACCGATCTCGACAAGGAGACAAAGAAGGAGCTCATCGAGCTGCTGCACGGAAACAAAACCAACCCACGTGTGTACGTTTATCAACTCCTCAACAGATGAGCTACTCACTGCCTCTGTTGGTCGTCATTCAAATTGACAGCTCAGGTTACTCGAACATATTGAAAAACTGAGGAGCATAAACAGTTTGCAGTTAACGGCCTCTCTTCCTCTGCAGGATCATAAAAGAGATCTTCCCTCGTTTCATTCGAGCCCCCTCGGACTCTGAGGCCAAGTCTGTGGATCATCTGTATGAAGGTGAACATGATGGCAAGGAGATGGCACTGGACATTTTGCATAGTTTGTACTTGATTTGGTGACAGCAAAAAGACACTTACAGTAAGAGCCTCTAGGTCTTGTAGGGATAGAAGTACTAGAAAGGGAGTAATGTTTCCAGAAGGTAAAGCCTTTGCCGTCAGAATAATGGGAATAATCAGTTTTATTCTTATTACCAGAATCAGAAACAGGTTTATTACCAGGTAGGTTGACACGTACGAGGAATTTGACTTGATTTCGTGGTGCATACATAAAAGTAAAACAAACATTAAAAACACAGATAGAGAACTAGAAAAATATAAAAAATATAAAAAAATATAACAGTATTTACATAGAAATGGAATGGAATAAAATATGGAATAGAAATCGGCAGTAATAAAAAAGAAAACAGATATTGTTGTAAATTGTGTGCATTAATGTAATGCATAGTCTATGATGTGGCTGAGGTAAAGTGTTACGTTACAATATCTATTCCTCCATGCAGATAAAAAGATGTTGAACATAAGCCTGGAGTTGGTCCGAGCGCAGAACGACTCGAAGCAGATCCAGGAGTGGTGGATCGTCAACCAGACGGAGCTCGGCCCCATCACCAAGAGAGAAACCCCCAAAGTCCCCCCCAAGGATGAACCCAGCCTGGATCTCTACGTGTTCAGCGACCAAGTCAGCCCCCCCAGCCTGGGCTTCCTGGCTGGATACGGGTACGTGGGGATTTAAAAAAGAAAAAAAAGATTTGTGGTGCTTCGGTGTTAAAGTGAAATATCTGTGTTTATTATGAGAAAAAATAGGTCATTATCTAAAGCTGTGCAAGTAGTGAGAATATCAAGTTCTGTTGGTTTTTACTTCAAGTGTAATAAAAAAGTGATTTGTATCCAAGATGATTCACAAGATGGGAAAGCAGCGAAACATCATTAGATTTAAATACTGCAAGATTTCATCAAAATGTAAAGGAAAAATATGTCACATTATAATGTCTAAAAACAACTCGACCAATGGTATATATTTTGTTGAGCTGTGCACTTAATCTATTCCACATTTTCCATAATTTCCAAACCCAGAGAAATCTCAGATTTTTATCAAAGGTGTGTTTTCTTTGGTCAGGGATGATTTCTGTTCATACATTATGACAAAACTATCTTGGAGAAAAACTGATTTTTTGCATTTTTTTGTGTTTTTATTGGTTTTCATAACCGATTCCGTTAGTTGTGGTGAGGAGGAAACCTCTCTGGATAATTTGGCTCCCGGTAAAACCAAATTCTACAAATGATCCAATGTTCTTTCTGTCTTTCCTGTCCAGGATCCTGGGCCTGTACGCCTCTGTGGTTCTGGTCATCGGCAAGTTCGTACGCGAGTTCTTCAGCGGCATCTCCCACACCATCATGTTCGAGGAGCTGCCCAACGTGGACCGCATCCACAAGCTGTGCACGGACATCTTCCTGGTGCGAGAGACGGGGGAGCTGGACCTGGAGGAGGACATGTACGCCAAACTCATCTTCCTCTACCGCTCTCCAGAGACTATGATCAAGTGGACCAGAGAGAAAACGGAGTGAATCTCAGCGAGGGGACGCTAACGGATGAATTGAGCAGCGATTTTCACCTGCTGAGGGAGCACAAAGTCAGCCGAGGACCAGCTCTGTCCTCTTCCACTGAGCTCTGACGGCAGAAATACAGTGTTGGCTCCACACTAAAACAATTGCAGCAACTATTGAGGACAGATTTGCCGGTGCTGTATTTATGTCGCTAAACCTGGCTCTGTTTGGCATCCAGAGGATAAAACGGCAGCCGGTTGGAGAAGGAGAACTCTTTTAAGACAATTTTACTAAGTTATAAAAAATCTTAATGCTAATATAAAAGTTTTTACACACAAATTACCCTCATCGCTCCTCATGCCTGCCTCATGACTTTCACAGTTGCACGGTCGGCGGAGAGAAACTGGCTGCATTCATCTTTAAGGGCTTCCCATTTACAAACAAGTGCACAATAATGTCACAATAATGACCACATGAGCACAATCTCATATTTTCTCCCAACTGAAACGCTTGGACTGTGGGAATGTGCAATATTGAGTTCCTCCAAGATTTTGAGGGATGTGGACCAAGAGAAAAAGGGCCGGGTCTGACCAAGAAACAACCTTTTTTTTATTATTAAAGGTCAGAGGCCACAAGGGAGCCTCCTGAAAGACACAAAGCATTACAAAACATTATCAGACAATCTTTAATTGCCTTATTTTGTTTGTGTGATAAGAACTGTTATCAACGTATCTTTCTCAGGAAGAGCTGTTTTCACAGATATTCATCGTATGAGTTATATGTTACAATATGTAGGCTTTGATGGATCTTAAAGATTGTAGAGAAAGTATTTAAATGGCATGACATGTAATGTGGATATTGTTGAGATGGACTGAGTATAGTTACTGCACAGGGAAACATTTTAAAGGCTGTATTTAGAAAGTAAATTGTGGACTGTTTTCCTCACAGAGATTTATTGCCAATCATCCATATTCTGAATCTACAGGTTGGCGAAATAAGAGACGAGCGGAGGGCTGTTTCTGAATCAGGGTAACGTGCACTAGGTGGAAGACTCCTGCACAACACTTGTGAACCTCTCGCTATTTTTAAACATTCATACTCACGAACACTGGCGCGTTCAGTCATCAAGGAAAAACACGAACAGAAAAAAAGACTTCTCACAAGAAGGGCTGAGACACGAAGCCCTTTGGTCCAAACTATGCATTAGAGGACATTGTAGCATGATAGAAAAACTTCATTATTGCCATGACTAATTTTCATTACATGTACATACAAGTTACAGGGGGACAGGTCACGGTGGAATGAAATGTGAAAATGTACCTGTGTGTTTAAGGCGATGTTATGGTATGATAGAGGTCCAAAGATCTGCGAATAAATCATGTGGAAAGGTGTCGAGTTTTGAATTCAGATGCTGTTTGCTTGTGGGAAAGGACTATGAGTATGTGTATCAACCTATCAACACAATGAGTTTCTTTCATTTTAAAACCGAGAAAAATCCATGATATTAACACTAGGTAACGTTGCGTTTGGTAGCCTGTAATGACGTTAAATCCACTTTGAGCTGTGGTTATCAAAGTACGTTTTATTAGGTTTAAAGCCACATTTCTTCTCAGAACACCGGCATGACCTCTAATGTTATTATCTCAAAGCTTTTCAATTTACATGAATAAATGTTCACTCATTACATATCGGTGTAAATCTATGACATAGCACTATGGTGACTGAGAGCTGTGACCTGAATGTCTGTGGCGACATTCCCAGGAAAAATCACAAATAATGGTGAGTACATTTTTAATCAACTATCAAAGGTTGGTTTACCGGAGCCTAAGCTAAAGACTCACTCTTCATCTCACTTGTGTGTGAAGCTTTGTACTCTTGCTCATGGACGCGGGAAGGGGGGGGTGCTGAGGGGGCTGCAGCACCCCCATCTGCGAAGCTCCACTAGCACAACCCCCCGCCACACGTCAGTTTCGCCGCTGCGAGATGCTACTAGCCCCGCACATTGTTCCATTTCTATAAAAGAAGCATCAGCTCTATTTTATCTGTATAAACCAGTGGTATACTTACTGACTTTTAAGCTACACTTTGGGTAAAAAACAAAATCAAGGAGTAGTTTCATTTTATTTTCACAGATTGTAACGTTAATGTTCACCAAAGTCCAGTGGAGATTGTTTCTAATGCACAGATGCATCTCAGATAATCACAGGACATCAGAATAACCGTGTAAATATGCATTAAATATTTGGAGAGCATTAGCCTCATTCAAGATAAATAGGTTTTAGGAAGCTACTCCGTCATTGCATGTCTGTCGGAGGCCATTTTGGAGCAGACTGCAGCCGCTGCGAGTCTCACTGATGTGGAAAATCTTTCTGCTAACTCGTTTAAGAAAATGCACAGAGACCATGAAATACCACACAATGGAAATGTTTATTGATGCATGTGTGAAGTTTGGAGATATGCTTTTGAGGAATATACAAGAAGTGGGCCACAGCATAAATAAAAAATGTAAACAGTCCCTTTATCACCTTTTGGTATCAGAATAAGTTTGGCTGGCATGTGATTTATATCCTCCCTAATTAAAGGCTTCTCACATTTAAGGAATTAGCAATAAGATAACTCACAGAAACACAAAAGCAGCCTTAACGGGGACATATGTGGGGGGAAATGCATTGAAAACATCACTGCAGGGTCCTTTTACATGTTTAAGTGCTTACATGTACTGTGAAAAATTGGAAATAAAGACGGAGCCAAGACTATTTTAGGATTAAGGTGGACAAAAACACACACACCTTTAAAACAGTCAACAATTGGCTACGAGCTGCGCCGTCAGGAACTGTACTGTTCCTTTACTTTTCTTGAATAAACTGTATCGCTGAAGATTATAGTTTAAATCTGAGTTTATCTGCAAATGAATACCTTTTGATTTTGATTATTAACTATTGCATTATTCCAAACATGCATTAACAAACTGATTGCATATTGTTCCAGTTACATATTCAACAGGCTGCAGCCATGAATACTGAATAATTTAACTCTGTACAAATAAACACCTATACACTGATCAACTCATTAGACATATTTAGAGTATTTCTGATTTGAATATACCTATATCAATCTTAAGACTATTCACAAACAATAGCGCAAAATGTACAGCGTCACAGAGACCAGAAATAATAACATTTACATACGACAGGCATTATTGAACATTGAAGAGTTTTCATTACACAGAGGATCCACCTCAAAGGAAATTAAAAAGGCTGCTTAAACTCGGGTGGACTCTTTGCAACACCGACTGTTACTGATGTTTTTAAATAATTTATTTCTTAATTTTTGCACAATAAAGATTTAACAGCCGCATACTTGGCCTTAGAGCTGGAGAATTTGTCAAGGTTTTTAACTTGTAGAGGGAACACGGTAGACTTGGCTCTCTGGAGGTTAACACAGCCCTCCCTCATAATCATCCTCATCCTCTGCTGGCGCTCCACCAGCGCCCCCTTGTGGTGCGGCGGCAGCCTTCTTCTTCTTTGCTCCGCCCCCGGGGACCCTCAGGGAGATGGCCAGCTTGGCGTACTGTGAGGGGATAAAAAGAGTCGTCAGATATCAGATCCTCAAGATGTATTTTCTCCATAAGCTTCTTGCAGTGATTGAAGCACATGACGCTTTTTCTGCAGAAGTTTTACTGAATTATTTCACATGAGATTTCTGTTCATTTCTGTTCCTTGGACAGTCATTAGTCCTGATGAAGCAGATTGGATACGTTTTTGAGTGTTTAACCATAATAAATCATATGTAAAGCCTTGGATCTATTTCTCTAGGTTTATCAAACTCAATTTCACACAAGGAAATGAGAATCCCGTCAATGGCCAGACATGTTTAGTTTATTGACATGCTTTTATTTAATCGAAAAACTAAAATGTGTGACTATATATCTCATATGGACTTCTTACATACAATTGGACAAACATTGTTAGCCGCAGTTACTGTCTTTTTTAAGTTAAAGTTGCTGGTCCTCCCAAGAGAGATGACTTTGTGTCTTTAAGTGGATCTTTCCACAGGAAGAACAGTGCTTCATTATACCATTTTTATTTATAGCTTCATTGTGAAATCTGACTTTTGTGTGAAAATGAAGAAAGTGTTTTAGCGGCGAGGGTGAGACCACAGGGGAGTAAGTGGCATTAAACATTTAACCATCCAGAAGACAATGAACAAAGCAAGACAAGGACAAATGAAAATCATAATGACATAATAACTGTTGATCGGTTTGTCCATTTTTGACGGTATACAAAGAGAAAATCCATAGAAATAAAGCTGTCATTTAATATAAAGTAATTTTTACCAGAATTGTCCCATACTCCTCTCTGGTTCTCCCCCCCGTATTAAAAAAACATATTCAGAAGTACTTATGGATCACTAGTACTCACGTCATTGTCCATGTACTTCAGTAGAGGCGAGTTGCACACGCGGTAGACCTGATCCTCGTCCTGCTCGTCGTAGCCCTGCAGTAGCGTCTCCATGGCGACGGAGTCCTCACTCCCACTGTACCCGGGCAGACTGGACGAGACCAAGAAACACATCATGTAAAGACCCTCGTTTTTAAGTGTTTTCACGATGTCATGTGGAGGGTAAACGATCTCCAAAGAGAGCCTCTGCATCTGATCGACCATCGACTCAGGCCACAGATTACAGAAACGAAAGAATATGGTAAAATAAAACGTACCTGTAACTTTCTCTGACACATTTATCAGCTGCTACGTAGTCCGCTCTATGGAGATGAATCAGCACTTGAACAGTTGTTTTCTGAAGAGTGAAAAACACAGACCAACACATATGTTTACTCTATTTCTTTTAGGAGCACCTGATCTTTTTGTTACCATGTGACATATATTCAATAATACACAGTGCTGTGTTTAGACTGCTGTTATATATTGATCAGCTGAGAGGAATAGAATAAGAACTGAGTTGCCTATCTGGCAAATGTATTCTAGAGGTAGTATATAAAGCTTAATTAAGTTGCTAATGAGAGATCTAGATAACATTAGCATTGTAACCCACCTTGAAGCACATGGGGAAGTTCTCAATATCTTTGTACATGTTCTTCTCTTTCAGCACAGCGACGGACGCCTCATCCAACCTGGTGGGTAAAACGAGAAAGTGAGGAATGATGAACAGATACTGTTTAAGATTTTTCATAGTTGCAAGTGAATATTTAAAAACATTTGAGCCATCAGCTTGTAAGCCTTTATTTATGAGATAGATCTCAGTGAGTTATTGGAATAAAGGTTTGTGGATAAGTCCATCACCTTGTTCCGTACATAAGCATTTGCTAAAACAGGACAGCTATAATCCTGTGTTGCATTACACCACCTAGCATGTGGCAGCATTATCATCACCGTCCTTCCATATATATCTGTATCTCTTTACCTTCTTAACCTGACCAGGAGTCTGGAGGCTTTCCCCAGCATTTCCACTGCCTGGCGCAGGCGATCCTCATTCTACAGAGAGAGGCAACGTGGATGTTTATCAGCGGAACAAAATAAAAACAACAAATTAAATTATTAATTCAGGTTTTGTTGGAAGGTTACCTCAAACACGCCAGCTGCCTTCTGATACAGGTCCACAGCTTTCTCTAGATTGATGGGCTCTATCAGTCTGAAGAATAAAGGAAACGGTTAAGAGGAAAGCAAATGTGCAAGTATTAAAAAAGATTATGCAATGGACAGAGATATAGTCCCAAAGATGTGTGTTAATGTAATGCATACAACAGAAGATGTTCAATCTAATGTTAAATATCAATTTTCTTAAGTGTATTCAAAAATAAAGGGATGTTTTTTACTTTCCAGCGCGGTCCAGAGCCATGGCAGCGGTGTCAGGAGTCCCGTTCTCCATATACATCATGCAGGCTTTCTCTATTAAGTCGATGGCCTCCGGCATCTTCTTTTGCTCCTGATGCAATGCAGACACAGCAGAGTTACAATTCTGCTGCAGACGCGTTACCTACGTCTACCTGCTAGAGTTTCATGTTAAATCTGCACATACCTTCATCATCATTCCTGCCTGTTCAATAGCCCTGAGGAAAAGAAGGAGAATTTGTATTAAATAAGAGTTCTAATGTTAGTTGCTGGCTTAGAGTAATAACTAGGTCATACAACTTGACACTTACTTTGCAGCATGAAACAGACTGTAGGAAAAGTTAAGGAAATAACAATACAGACAAAAGTGCAGTGTCATGAAACTGTGATCAGAGTACAGAGAGGATACGTCTTGTTTTCTGTTTGATATTCTGCTTCCTTCAAGTAAGCATCCGTTGCTTGTTCATACTGCTTTGCATTCTTGAAGCACACAGCTACACACAAAAGGAGGGACATGTTTACACAGTTAGTAGTACAAATG